AAACACAATGTACATTTTATAATGCAAACCCAGAAATATGTAGACAACTAATTTACATGTCTTTTATAATCTACCAGTTCGCTCGATTGCCCTTCAATGGTTTCCTCTGCATCCCCGGTGGGAATTTGAAAGTGACAAATATTAATTGAGGCTTCCTTATATGGGAAGCGGGAGAGCGTTTAATGGTTTTTTTGTCACGATATTGAACTACCTTCAATCAAATTTATTTACGCTCAATATTTAGCTGACTTTTTGCTAATGAAAGCAATAAAATTTACCCCTGGGGTTGGTAGGTTTTAAGGTTTGATTCTTGATCGTTTATAAAACAAATTAATAAGTACAGTTTTGTAGCAACGCGCGAAAACGACCTGAGCAAAAAAAGTATCAAAAATACCTCCTACAGGAAAATTCTGTGACAAAGAGCCTGGACAAAACTCCGTTATAAATCATATGATTTGGGTATTTGCTACTTAAATTTACTCGTCGAGTACCAGATAATTGTTCAAGAAAACGTTTATTGCGAAAAACACCCTACTTGAAACTACTTGCAGAAGACCAGGAAATTCAAAACTTCTTTGCTCACGATTAGAACAAGAAATTTATACACTAGTATGGTTGAGTTGCTTCGCCGGAAACCGGAGATGCAGTTCGAGAAATTTTAGTTGAATAAATTATTCATAAATTAAACCAAACACGTCTTCTCTGAGGCTATTAAAATGTAAGCTTTAGAACGTTAGATCTCCGTGACTGTACCGCCAAAGTATTCATAAATGCATGTGTACAAAAACCCAGTCTCCTCCGAAATGATCAGAACAATACAGACATCTATATATTCGGGTAGTGTTTGTTTGTCGGTAGGCATTATTTTAAACATTAATATTTGGAACCGTTTTTGTCAACTTAGAGGGAGGTAGGTCAATCTTAAATGAAAAAGCCGGCTTTGGAGGTGTGGTTACGGAGCAATGAACGGTTAAATCAGTGTCACTGCTTTTCTGAGACTAACAACAAGTTTGCCTACTCGAGATTTGAAAAGCTCGCCTACCAAAAGGCGGACAAGGAACTGACCAAGAAGATCAGTTCGCGTCCGTGAGTTTAAAAACAACTCAGTCAAAACTTTGCGGTAGAGCAGCAAATCATAAACTGAAAACTCCCGCAGATCTATATTTACCTCCGTCACAGCAATATATTGCAAAATCCTTAAGGGAACACGTTGATAGTTTCAGATCGGTATGTTAAGTATAGTCTTAAGTATAGTTTGTGGTTTGAACCCGACACCAGCGCAGCTGTATACACGGAGCCAATAGTGGGTTTAGTTGATCACACTGATCTGAGATTAAGTCTTAAAAAGGATCGGCTCCTGGGGTTAACGTTGAGGACGGAGATCGTCATATATTTGCCCAAGCGTGAATGCTTCATTTAACAGCCTATAAATGCCAGAAGCTCTTTTTAAAAAATAACTGTACTAGTTTTGGGCACATAACAAATGTACTTACAGTTTAACGAGACAAAAACTTGCTTGCAAAGAGTAATAGGAGACGAAAAAACAGCTGCAGTCTTGGAACAGTGTATTTGCTTTCTGTGTCGCAGGGTACGAGCTGTTATCATGTATTACCGCATCGTGATAAAAGCAGATTAACTGAATGGTGATGCAATTTATAGAAAAATCCAGACAAAGTTATTGTTGATAAATAACGCAAGAAAGCGTAAAAGGTACTTACTTACTTCACGATATTGTGGTGTCTATTCTTTTAACATAACGAGCGGTGGTTACTCGACTACTCTGCTTGCGTCACTGGTTTTCTGTTCCCGGAAGGATCTGACGTCACCAATCGCAAGTATTTTGACACGTGGAAACTTCGTCATCTCTGCAAGGAATAGTAAACTTTACAGCCCAAAACAATTATTATTTACTTACAGTACTCTTAAACGATCTAATTTTCTTTTACTATAAGTTCCTTTCGTTCTCCTACTGAATGCATATTCGTTAAAGTTAGCGTGCACATATAGTCCGGCTAGTCGATCATTGAATGGTGTAAGCTTGTTATGCACAGGGAATAACTAATTGTATAATTATCCTAAAACGCCTCGATCATTAGCTTCTTTCAGGCGACTAAAGCGTTAATCCTTTGAAAGAAGAAACTAAAGACTGTTTTAAAAAGTTTATGGTTTGGAGATTAAAAAGCACAGATTTTCCCACGATCAGTTTCTGCTCGATGGTTTGACCCACGAAAACCCTTTCATAAAAATGGGAAAGATAGTTTTGAATTGTTTATCACATTCGCAAATTGTAAGTTTCATGATATGTTTTTAACTGTACATTAAACGTTTCGAGGTTTTGCGAGATTTTAAGTATTGAGTTTCTAAATTTTACCTTATTAATGTGATAAACAAGCAGAATAAGTTACCGTAAAATTCCGAAAATAAGCCCCTCCATGTACAAGCCCCTCCGGAAATATAAGCCCCCAAACCGGTAACGCAAAAAACCTTCCGTTAGATAGCCCCTCCAAATATAAGCCTCCCGGGGGCTTGTACTTGGAAAATTGCCCTCAAATACAACTAAAACAGAGCAAAAACGGTAAATTCACTTCCAACTATAAGGCTAGCCCAATCGATTTTGAAACGCAAATTTCCCTCCACAGATAAGCCCCCGCCGAATATAAGCCCCTCAAAAAGGGCCTTTGAAAAATATAAGCCCCGGGGCTTATTTTCGGAATTTTACGGTAATTTAAATTGACTGGAATTATTTAAAACAATACTCTTTATTTGAACCGTTAGTTTACTGAGACAGCCATAAATTTTCAAATATTTTTAATAAAATATATATAATTTTAACACCAGAAAAACTCATTACTTTATGATATGGTAATCTTTACAAAGGTTATAATGCCTTAACCCCTGTTTCATGTGATTAGAGGCCGCCTGCATGCATTGCCATAGCTTCTCGTTGAAGAATTCACTTGTTCCTTCATTACAGCTGAATATAAAGGAACCCATAGATCAAAAACTACCCCGTGCATGTGCAAATTTGGAGATGGGTGATAACAAATCCAACAGGTTCCCAAAAAGATTTCGCTTCATAGCCGCGTTGTCTTTGCGAATTCATCAGTTAATACGATGACCAGCCTGCGAATACCGCGCTCTTCTATCGCCTCCGCTGAAGGAAATTTCGGGTTTTCACTCTCGCGATACGCCCCACTTTTGTTTAAGAGAGACAAACTTCTCTCATTTTGTTGCTTAATTTTCCCTATCCGAACTTGCGTGACCTAAGTGGCAGTTTAACTACCAACCGATCAGCGCGCTGAGGAGTCTGGGTATGAAGCTGACGCGTCTTCCACGTATATCAGGACCGTTCGTGTTTTCAGTTTCCCCCCGGAGGGGGGATATTTCTCTTCCAATTATTGCTAAACAAACCTGGAATTAAGGAGCGAATCCTATTTTATTTAAGAAAATCAAGATGGCGGACTCTTCCTCAATTCGAGTATCTGTGACAAGACTGATAAGACGATTTTTGAGCGACGGCTGCAGTAAGTCTCGCATACTTTCAGACCGTTAAAGAAAACAAGCGATTTTTCAAAATGTTTCTACTGTAGAAATCAGCTACCTGTATTTATCGCGCTTTAACAAAGCAGTACTAGACGAGATCTCACTTGAGTAAGTGATTTGTTTAAAGTGATAATGCGCATGCGCATTGACCGTGTCAAGAAAGCGGGTTATTTTGATTATCAAATATTAATTTAGCTGTTATTTCCCCTGACAGACATTTCATTGATTTTTTCCAGTCATAGATAACAAACAAATGATCTTAAGCGCAGGTATAATTAAGCAAAGAATTACCAAAACATCCCACAAGTCAAGAAACTTGTAATGATTACAAAGTTATTGTAGGCACTTATTTCCGGTTGCCTTAAACTAATGAGTAAGGAAAATAACGATCTGGGTGACGCCAGATCTGTGACGAGTGTCACTTAGCAATTTTTTACGGGGTAACAGGCTGCCCTCGGGTGACCCGCTTACTTCTGCGGGATACCTGTGTTGAAGCGGCCTCCGCTTCAACCCCCACTAATCAATCGAGGAAGATTCAACATGTGAACACTCCAGAGGGGTGTTCTATAAGATGAATTCTACAGTATATGATTGTATTTTTTCTAAACGTTTTTTTGGGATTTGCCTTACCAGAAAATGTATTTCAAACAGAAAAAACCAACATTTACCTAGCATTACCTCATTACACAGCGAAGTGTATTCTACAAACCTTTTATTGCTGTTTTACATGTAATATTGTACAATGTACGGTTAGAAAATTATATCTATGATTTTACTGCAAAATTAAATCAATGTCTTATTACTTTTCCTATGAATTAATACGTCGCTTTAAAATCTTGAAATCTGGTCATTTTTGAATCAACAGAGAAAAAAATAATTTCATTTGTTTTTGATTAGATTTCACGCTCTATCAGTTGTCCATCAGACAATAAAACCTTAATTAATGTACTATAAATACAAAATATTTAGAGGTTCAAGATTTTTCATCGAGGAAATTATACCTTCAAAACTAAACGCGAAACCAAAAACACGTATTTTACGGAGATAATTTCTAAGTGCTAATATCTTAGTTGCTAATCAGTTCAAGAAGCACTGAACTAATTTGAGTAAAAGAAAAACATTCGTTTCAACGAAGTACGATTTTATGCCCTCAGATTAGCATAATCAAAACTGGTGAGTGAGTCGTACTGTGCAAATACACTACCCGTAAGTATCGTTTTAATACTACCCACAATCAACCAACAAAAAACGGAAGAAAATTCAGAGTCGAAAATGTTTCCGTTCCTTAAAATTGCGTTTGCACTAAATTTTCTTTCTTTGCATGGCCTCCATGTAACTTGTCAGCTGACTTGTTTCCTAACAAAACATTTCAAATACAAAGTCTCTGGGTAAATTACTACGAACTACGATGAAACGTTTCTTACAGATCCCGTGGCCGCTAACGAAAGACAAACTCTTTAATTTCCACCTTCTTTCGCAGATAAAGTCGATCCCCTTCGTGGACGCTGGTGAACGCTTTTAAAGGCTTCCGACAGAGCATTTGCAATCACATCAGATTTCTCCGATTCGTTACAGATGAAAGCGTAGCATTCAGCCTTCTTCGGTTTCTGCGAAACAAAGTCATTGAATGCGAAAAGTTGGTGCTTTTTATCAGCTACGACAAATGAGATCCGACTGAATGGCACCTCAATGTCTTCTTGATCACCAGCAACTTGCAGCCATCGAATTTTAACATCCGTAGATGAAATTTCTAAACAAACTCTTGGAAGACTGCTTAAATTATCGCTTACTTCCTTGTAAAGTTTTTTAAGACATTTATCCATGTTTTCACCTCCGGGCTTCGATGTTTCTGTTTTCCCTGCGAAGCGAACTATGAAACCTCTTGAGGGCTCTAACTCGTATTCTTGTTTTAAACTTTTTAAACTTAGTCGCTTAACCATGGCGTGATTTCCTTTCCTAAACTCTTCACAGTCTTTCGTTGTCTGCTGTTTGGATCTTATAACACCCATGCAATTCCACTGAAATCTTTGATGTGTTTTCTGTTGTTATCAAATCGTTTCATTGTGACCTCGGAAGAATAGCTTAAGCGGGGTGATCTTAGTTGTTTGATCTCGTTTGCATCGTGTTAAAATCACAATTAAATATCGAATTCGTTAAAATGGAATGTCAATAAAACAGCTGCTTCAGTTTTTAAACGTAATTATTCATCCAAATAAGGAGAATGAACCGTAATTACATGTTACCACAGCAACTATGAACATCGTAGTACTGAGTCCACCGCGGTTAAAATCTCGACGGGAGCTTCAGGAATTCATTTGCTATGCCTACAAACTCTGAACAGAAAAATGACTAGGGTAAATGAACAATAAACATTATAAAAAATAATTTTCTTACACCCTTTCTGTCACTTTACACACTTTCAAAGAACAGCTCTTAAACAAGCATAACTCGCTCCGATCCTGAAGAATATCATACATGGACCAGTGGTGAATAAGTGGGGGGCCCACTCATTCTTTAGACAAGAGGGAGGCCCGGCCACAATTTTTTTTTTTCTGCCGTGCGGGTTCCACTTTGTCCTCAGATTAAGGTGGGGCCCAGGCCCCTTGCCGCGCAAGTTCCGCCACTGTTGATACAGGCCAATAAAATTGAAACTGAATTTTGTTTTCATGCTGGCCGCGCGGTGCTGTTTTTCAGTAGTGGACGGTAAAGTTACCAGTGCAGCCAAAACAAATCCTAATTAACTCTTTTGTTATTCTTTTTTTTTTAAAGATGTAAAAAATGAAATATTGTTATAAAGTTGAAAATGTGAAATAATACTGTTCGATTGTAGTTTTTCGGCTAGATGGATTCAAAGCGGTACTTTAAAGAAACTAAACGCTCCATAATCCGTTAATCACATTTCTTTTACGAGTTGTTTTAACGCCTGCAACATTTTGTCTGGTGAACGACAGAAGTGAGTTCGATCTTAATAATGGCCAATTTTCATTTGTTGTACAAACATTTACTTTTTTCTCATGAGTTCTCAACTTTCCGGGGTCCCTGAGTAAAAAAGCCACAAATTTGCAATTCTAATATTGCTGCATTTACCCAGTATGTTTACCTTGCCATCTCCTCATGAAATTCACCGCTAATGTCAGTTGGTCCAAAGTTTCAGAGTGCGCAAGCGGTTAAATTAGCTTTTGAAAATATTTGGAGAGTACCATTCCACTCGTATTCCGTATGGAGACTGCAACAACGAACTCATGTTAATTTGTGTTAGACAGATGAATTTAAGGAATCAAGATGGAAACATTTAAGGAGAGAATTGGCGGAATCGGCCTAAGTCGAAGTGACTCGCGAACACTTTTTCGAGAAACAGCTTTTCGTGTGAAGTATCTGGGATTTTGTTTTAATTCGTGTCCAGGGATAGAGGGAATTCAAACTGCCGTGGATGAAATTAAGAAAACGGGAGGCCACTGCGATTACAGAAACACAATTCAGACGAACTTCATCAAAATTAGCGACCAAGGTGTTAGTTTTGTGGAGCGCAAACGCGAAAAAGATGTTTCCTTGGCATTTATACCTCTGCGGAAGATTTCGTATGGGCTGATTTACAAAAAAGATTCCAACATTTTCGCGTTTAATCACCATGTCTCACAAAACCACGTCGAATGCCACGCGGTTGTCTGTGAAAATGAGCTAAAAGCTCGAGAGATAAACGAAGCATTGTACGCAGCCTTCAAAACGGACCATTTTGGAATTCTTCGGAAAGAAAGAGAGAAAATGAGAGAATGCTTAAAAGAAGACGATGTAGATGCACTAAAAAGTGAAATATCCAACTGAAATCAATCTCGATTGAAGTTGGACTAAAGCCATTACTTCACAGAAACACTATACATTGTAAATTACTAAGTATAACACAGAAACTTTTACATTTAAAATTTGAGCAATTTTCATACATTAATTAGATAAAAAAATTTCTGCACATTTCTAGTTGAAGTAAAGTCTCAAATGAAATCTTTAGTATAAAATGCATTGCAATAGAAAATATTTTGTAAAGATTTTAAATTAACAATGGCTTCAAGAGTGCAGCTTTCGTACATAATTATCAGGGAATACTAGTTCTATACCAGTTCTACTTCTGGAAATAAATGTCCACACGTTGTACAACAATAGACTCTGACACCGAAAAGTTATTCTAGACTAAATTTCTAAAATAATATTTATAATAAGTTTGACTTCCAAAAGTATTTTTCAAGAACCTTTTCTATTTTAAGTGTAAATAAGTCGAAAAGCTTGGAGATAGTTTAAGATATCAGTATTGTGAGTCGCAATTATTAGATTTAGAAGCCCACAATGCTAGACTGAAAAGGACTTGAAATTGTCCTATTTTTTTGTCTAATTCAAGATATTGAACATGAAATGTTTATATTAGTCTCCGCGAGAAATGAAAGTTAAAGGTTTTCACTTAGCTAACGCTGAACTAGAGTTTTCCTGACAGGTGCATGGCTAAAATTAGAACCTAATTGCTACCTGCTATTGTCTTTAAATAAAGATTAAGTGTTCCCTACTTAAAGAGCTTTTTCGTTTTTCCTGTGTCAATCTGCCGATAACGAAGCTAATTAAGCTAAGTGTTTTTTTTTTTCTGACGAATAGAAAAAGTATGGAAGAATTTGCTGAGAAATCCTAGTAGGAATGTTTTGCGTTTTTGGTCGAACATTAAAAGTTTCTTGTTTTCGACATAAAAAAATTAGCATTTACGATTAAACTTAACACAGCAGGATCTTTTTTAAAAGACGTTTTGAGGAGTCGAGGGAGAATATAACATACCTTGTTTAGTGTAACGGTGTTCATATTTGGAATATTCCTGGAACTATATCACGTGGCCGAAGCCGATCTTCACTGTCCTGGGAACTAGACATAGAGCTTGGCGTATTCATTTACATCAAGTGACTAACACGTGACCAGGATGTCTAAAGGGCGCCGTTCTATTTGTCAGAATTGACGGGCCAGTTCATTCCAGTCATAATAAGAATTTCACTTTTAATCAAAGCTATTCAATCTGATCAGTCAGATCCTAAATAGCATGCACGAAGGAAATGGTGTTTCAACAAAAACTCTTGGAAAAAAATCATTTTGTATTGTCAAATGACTGGTCCGGCTATGGCCCGGCCGGCCAGTTCTGACTTTTTGAAAGCACCCTAAGTGTCTGGCTAGGATGAATAGCCTTTTCCATAAATGACTTATCTGATGTAGGCAGCTACGGGCAGATTTGAGTTTAAGTAATGTTTAGTTTACCAACAAACAACTCTAATTCGTAACACCTCCGAAGACTCAAACTAATCAACCTTTCTTTCTTATACCAGACTTATTTAAGCAATCGCGGAAATCGTCCTGTAGATATTGCAACGACGAAGACCTGATACCTGAATAGTTACTTATTTGGTTAAGTAAATTCATATCGGATCGGAAATGGCTGCTCGCTGACTAAGACGATTCTGGAAGTACTTGTCGTTTGTGGTCAAGCGTTAATGAACAAATTAGCACTGAATACGATTTTTAATTAAGTTAGTATAGGCCCTTTGTATTTCGGCCTCACGTATTATAGGCCTAAAAGGGAAACGTTTCCTCTGTCATGGGAAAAAGCCGAATAAAAAAAGGAAATGAACAATGAAGTGAACTCCTACACGCCTAGAAGTTTTCTTCGCTTATCTCTGTATATTTCTTTTTTCTTTTATTGACGTCAGGTAAACTTCTTGCATAACTCAAGTAATATGGTATCTTTTCAGTTCAAGAATGTTGAAAATGATTGCCTCTAGCCGTTCGCGCAATGAATTTCCGTCAACATTTTACTCAAGCCTAGAACTGCACGAACAGCACCAAGCTAATTAAATTGCTGCCAAATAATTGTTCTTTAAAAGGTTATCGTTTTAACTGGTTTCACACTGATCCGCAGTCAAAAGCATAGAACCACTTTGTACAGCATAATCAACAGTATCTTAGGAAAGAACAGTTCAGTAGCTTTTATTAGGATTTCATCCACAGACTCAAAATTTGGAACCACCTTGTACAGCGTAATAACCAACACCACAATAAAGTACTGCTCAGTAGCTTTCATTTAAATGGCACGTTATACTTAAAGATTATATCCACAAACTCCAAAAGTTAAAACCACCTTCAAGCGGCAGTATAAGGACAAACTGTACCACAGGAAAGTACTGCTCAGTAGCTTTCATCTGAATGCACACATACAACGACTAAAATATTGGAGGAAATACACTGTAATTCTCCTTAAAATAACTTCTGGATTGCCGGCAAGGGTGAATTAACGCAGCTTTTTTTAACGCTCTAGGTTGTTAAAATTGCCAATTTAAATTAGCCCTCCGAAAGCAAAAAGTGTGCCTTTGTTCTTATACTGCGGTTTACTTATACATGATGTTACAACCAGTGCTTAGAATTAAGGACAATTAAGGCCAATTTAACTCTCTCAATAGCCAACATATCAAGTTTGACAATTTAGTTTAATTGTATAGGTTTTTTCTAAGTGAAAATATTGAAAAAGTTGACGCTCGCTAATATAACAATAATAACAAAGAAATAGCGATGAACGCTAAACGCGTGAATTAAGGGAAAATTGTCGCCTTGATTTGAAAAAGACAACAGAACTCCGAAGAATTGTGAAAAGCAGGTGAAGTTTTGCTGAAGGTGTAAAAAAAAAACTACATTTGCCGAAACACAATTTATTTTAGTTTTTAAGGAGTCGCTTGTGTCAGACTTAAAGCAAGCGTTGTTCGCTATGTGTTCGATGTTCGGAAGTTCCACGCTTCAGGAACACTGAGCGAATTTGCATTTCAATGGGTTTTGTCGGTCGATATTAGCAGGTGAATATTGTCAATATTGTATACAATCCAATCAGGGCTTTAGTACCTCGAGGATCTAAAAAAGAAAGGGAAATTCACGCAGTGATAAACATAGGCAAGGATAAAAGGGGTACTTCAAGGCACTGCGGAGTTAGTTACCCCACTAAAAACCTCGTCTCCAGCAGAAGCGGACTGAGATCTTTATATGTGTACGCGTGTTGCAAGAGAGAGTCATTCCATTGATACATCTTTAATCATGCTTAAGGGCAAATTCGGCAAGGCTGATTTAACATCTGCTACCCGTTTTCAAGTGAAATATCTTGGTAGTGGATTCACCCACGAGCCCGGTGTAGCAGGCATCGAGAATGCTGTACGTAGGATTCAAGATGAAGCAAAATTTGACGAGAAATCATGGCCTAAAATGTTCTTGCATGTTGAGGCTGAAGGAGTGAAACTCGAGGAAGTCAAGCAAACCAAATCTTCATCGAAAGAATCAAAGTTTATTTCACTGGAAAATATTTCTTATTGTACTTTAAACAGAATTGATACTACTATTTTTGCTTTCAATCACCACAAGAGTCCTACAGTGGTCGAATGTCATGCCGTAGCTTGTGAAAACGAAGATAAAGCGAAGGCTATTGCACTGGCTTTATATGCAGCCTTCCGCGAAGGCCATTTTCAAAAGCTTAGAAGAGAGAGAAGAAAGTCCTTTGAACAGAAAAACTTCGTGCGAAAAGCAAGCTTGGAAAACTGGGAACGAAGTAGCTCTAGCAGTTCTTCTCCTGCTACAAGTCCAACGCAAGAATTATCTCCAAATTTCGAGAATTCTGCAAAGTCAGCAGATGAATCCGTCTTCGAAGTAAAACATTTTAAGTCAACTCGAGATAGACTGTCTTCAGTGGAGTATGACGATCAAGAACTTGAACTGGATAAAATTATCGAGGATCTCTTACTGACTGTGGAGATAGAAATGGCAAAAATTGAACAAACTGTTGATTAATAGGAATAAACAGCGGTTTACTTGTTTCTAGAAATGATAATGTCAAGTAACTTAGCAGAAAAAAAATCATTACAAACCTTGATTTCTAACGAATAATTACTACCACGAGGATTGAACGGAACTGTGAGCCATATTAGCTCCTGTTAGCTCTTATTAGAAACTCGCTTTACGCGTCTGAGAAAATTTTTGTGCAGGATCTCAGTACGCAATATTAAAAAGCATTTTATAGAATAGAAACATTGTAGTACATATATATACTTTTCGGCCCTTTTGTGCCGGAACATATTTACCTAAATTAGAATTCAGACTTTGGTTACATATTCTATTTTAATTAACGGAGTGCTTTCGATACATAAACATTTAAAAATTACTTCACTATGCAGCGTCCTGGTTTTCTGAGGTTATGTTGTAATACTTGCTCTCAGATGGGTGTGGACTGAGTCAATAATAACTGATTCATTAATATCTAGCGGCAGATTCTCTCACCTTTCCATTTGACTTTCTCAAATTTATTGAATTGCCTTCTTGACTTTTGCATTATTTATATGTATTCATTGTGCGATCGTCAAGTTTAAAGAAAAACGTTTGAAGTCAATCTGCGTTATTTGACTGATATAGTTTAGCCAGATAAAATTTTTATTTCTCTACAGTAAGTACATTTAAACGACTCGTTTGTCACAAAACTCGACTTATATCGCAAACAAAAAACTTGACAGGATAATAAATCGAAAAATCTAATGGCTAAGCTATATCTTTACAATTACACGTTGGAGGTTTGTTACGTAACTCTTTGAATTATAATGCACTCTGATTGAACAAAAACGTTTTCCGACGATACCGAGCCGATCAGGCTAGTTCGCTCATTTTTTTTCAAAAAAGTTACATCATTGAAAATTGAAGCACTCAAAATCTAGGAGCGTACGAATTAACTTTAAATCCTTACTTTTCGACGTACGAGAAATTGAAAAACACTTAAAAAACAGAATGATTGGTATTTCGATCATCGTGAAATATATGTCTGAAGAGCTGGAAGTCCCATTGAAATATGTGCCAGTATCAGTGGGTGATAATCATGCCTTGTTATCTGTCGCCGAACAGATTTACGTGCCGGGAAAGTTTCATTAAGGGGGCACTTAAGTTAAATTTCCTGAGCGCATAGGACCAATTATTATTTGCACCAAGAAAAGATTTCAGTTATTTCATTGATGATTTGCTTGGCCCGCGCGGTAACACAAGCACTGAACCGGTTCACTGCCTCTGTTCTTCGCCTCACAGTTTAGGACTATCTAAATTCAGTATAAGTTTGCTTCTTAGCTAAAACGACCGACCTTATTTCATCCGAACTTTTTAAAAAAGTAGAACAAGTTTTTATCCAAACACACAAATAAAATTGAGTTATGTCCCTAAAGCTGAACTGGACACTTAAAGAAAAACAGCCTCTTCGAGGGGACTCAGTCACAAATACTATTTAGTCAGTAATATTGGTAGTCTGCGAATAAGCCGTTTCTCCTTACTACTAGTCGCTAACGACGTTTCGCCAGGATTCGTCTTCGACGGGCGGCGAGGAGCTAGAAGAAACGGCTCTATTCGCAGGCTATAATATTGGCCAATTTGAAACTGCAAGTTGTACTGGGTCAGACATTGTTATGTTGTCTCCGACTGCACTTTAAAATTGCACTGAATTTTGAGAGATTTGCCACTTCAGTCAGCTATTAGAGAGATTAAGAGTGACGTTTACGGCAAACACTTGTGAAGGCAAAACCACCGTCAGGGGCACCCAACAGGAAATTTTGAGAAAAAGACCTAAAAACAACAACAAAGCATGAAAAAAAGCTTTCTGAAGCCATTTTAAGCATTTTGGGAGATTGCTGGGAAAAATTTATCTGTTCCTCGCTCCCAGCAAGACTGATGGAAGATGACGCAATTCCAGACATCAAATCCCCTCAGACACCCTGAATGTCCTGAATTGACTTTTTCCCAGCAACACTTTCCTTCCAAGGACATATTATTTCTCCCAAATCTCCCAGCCAGCAAAAATTTGCTAGAAGAACAGATATTTTGAGCAATAGCCAGTCCATTGGGTGCCCCTGACCACAACGACAAACCAATGAGGGTCCGTCGGATCTTTACTGAGTAGCCTGCGAGCAAGCTCTCCTATTTGGGCGAGTGAAACGAGTCTCGCGAGAACGCGCGAGCGAGCGGCGAAGCCGCGAGGGGCACCTCGCTCGCGCGTTCTCGCGAGGCTCGCTTCGCTTGCCCAAATAGGAGAGCTTACTCGCAGGCTATTACTGAGTTAATTACTGAGTAGACCTAATCTCGTACCCAGATCTCCCACGGCCAACAAAACAGAGTGAGATCTGGGTACGAGATTAGAGTAGACCTGGATCAGTAATATCTTGAGTACCAAATTTTAGCTTAAAACTGTAAACTGATCCTTACGGCAGGAAAAGTGATAACAAAAATAAAGTACCGTTAAACGTAAATCTGTACCACGTGACCAAGGTAACTTTCCGCAGTTACTGTTCATTACTTCGACAAAAAAATAAGCATTTTGCCTTTAACAAGTTTACCCTTGATTTCTTTATTGGCTATTTTTTCATACGTCCCTGTCCCAAGCTGAGCCCGCAAACAAACATGGATGTAGCATCAATGACGTTTTCAAGTGTAATCATTAAGAACCGATAAATGCAATACGTACTTTGGTTAGCATTGCTATATCTTCAGCTGATAGCTTGTTTCGAAGCGCTTTTTCCATTCCGGTCATAAGCCCCCCTTGGATAAACCCTTCCGTTTATAAACCCTCCTAAAACCCTTTTTACAAAGATGTATAATCCCACGGCTTATAAGCGGAAGTTAAGGGTATTTCATAACTGGGGGCCGGCTTCGCCAAGATCGGACTTTATCTTTGCTGCTGTTTGTCAAAGTGATTCTCACAAGATAATACTGTCTGAGGAAGAGAGACCCTGGAAGGAATTGAAGAAAGGATGAAGGAAGATGAGAAAGAGAAGCGAAAAAACCGGTTATGACTGCTAGTGGGAGAGGATAGTGGACAGGGGGGGTAGCAGCAAGGACAAAATAGGCGGTGGGAGGGGTAGGGGAGGCGGAATCGGGGGAGAGGAAATAGTGGAAGATGGGAGTTCTGAAAGGGAGGGAAGCGAGAGAAAAGGGAGGAAATACGCAATAATGAAACAATGCTTTTAAAATATTTCGCAATCGAAAAAGGGCAAAAAGGAGGAGGGCAAGGAAAAAGAAGCTGGAGCCCTAAAGTGCGAGCAGCGGGAGCCCCGGAATGTGAGGATCGAGAAGCGGAAACTTGGACCTTCCGCCGGCTCCCGCCTCCCGGTAACCCTGCTAGCTCGCTGCTCTAAGCCAATAAGCAAAGTAATACACACATATGCACGATGTAATACGCATGTGCCTTTGATTTCATCATCATCTTTATCATCATCATTATCACCACCACCACCACCGCACATACGCGCATAATCATCAAGGCGGCCTCAGCCACGCTAAACACCTGGGTCGAGTTGTTCAAAGCTCGGTCAAGATAACCCAGGGTTAGTGCGAGATTTGAATTCAGATTTGAAAGCTTAAAAAGCATTTTAGTTTTAATTCGTTTTGTCTACAAGTTGATGATTGGAAGCTCTAAAAATAACAGAGAAAATTTTCCGACAAAATGCTTTTGAACACAAGAAAAAGAAACCTGGGTTAATTTTAACCCCGGGTTAAGCGCTAATCGGCCTTCGAACAACTGGGCCCTGGTTATCCAGTTTTCTTTTAACTTCATCACACAAAAATGCTGGTGTGTACTATTTTTACCTAACGACAAAACATAAGTGAAATAAAAGAGAATAAAACGCATTAGCGGATTCAAACGCAACGAAATGGACAATTTTCCATTTTGTTTCGGCATTTGCCCTATTGCGGTTGGGTTGAAGTAGTTCACATGAGATTTTTCTTGGGTTTACACTGAGTTCGCATCACTTTTGATTGCAAAAAGAATACGTCGGTGGACAAAAACGCTCCCCACCCCCGACATGTCGTAATGCAAGCCACGTGCTTCTTACCTGACGTCACAGTGCGTGGTTACTCAACCGGCCGTCCACTGACATCTCGACCGGAGTTGAAAAATCTCGTTGAGTGCAAAAAGTTCATTGTCGTTCGCTTTTTTGCCGAATTTCAACAACCATTGTCATCATTTCAGTCGAAAGCTTGAATCTACTGTTTCTTTCGTTATGAGTCATGTGTCCCCAGCAAACTTTCAAGCTCTAGACCAGCGGGTAAGTGAGAATTTTCCATTCGGAAAAGATGTCAATTGTCGGCTTTGAAGACAAAGGCACATGGCAGACATTGTGATGTTTCTTTAGAATTTCGTTACTTCGACGTTCAGAAGATGGATTCCTGACGCGTGTGTTTTGTTTTTTAGTATTGGTCAAGCTTTAAATTGAGTCTTGTGTTGTCTTTTTCCCGTAGTTCGCTGGTCTGGACTTGAATTCAGGCGCGGTAAACCAGCGCGCTGTCGATCATAAACCACAAGGTATGTTACGCTGAAAAAAAATGGTTAAATGGTAATTCAGGACCCATTAACAGCAAAACAACTCTCTTAACAAGTGAGGAAGGAAAGATGAGATTTACCGGCGTCGTAGGAGCTCTAATGCGTCTTTTGCACAGAACAATATGTCCTTTATAGAGTTGAAAATGTTTGGTTGGTAGATTTTCCTAATTTTCTTCTTGTCGCCAGGGTTTTGCGATTTATGTAATCAAGCTTTATTCCCTTTGCCAGTCTTTTTATTTAAATGAAGATTTGATTTTTCTTCACTTGTAAGCTTACTGCTAGTTTCTAAAAGAAACTTTGTTATCTGATATCGTTATTTTTGTCTCACGTCTGACACGATTTTAACTTGAAGTTGAAAAATTTAGGTTAAAAATTGAACATGGATTTATTCGAGGTGTTTTTGGCTTCCAATTGTTTCTCAGTTAGTAATAGCAATTCGCTATTTTAAGCTGAAATCATTCTTGAAAGTAGACTTATGCGGGTCTTATGTAATAGATCTAGACCGTTCTAACATTTTAACTTTTACTTCAGGTTTTGTTTTTTTGTGTCGAATATTTTGTTTTAAGTTTTAATGAGACTGTAGATCTTTCCTGAACTCTTTTTCCTTGTCGCTGAGAATTTTTCATGAGGCATAGATTTTTGGAATATGCGAGAAGCGTCATTTTATGGGGGGCACACTGAGATTTTGAGATTGTCATTAACACACAAAAAATGTGCTATAAATTTGATAATGTCCTTTGTAACAATCTTCAGTTTCATTGATGCTATTGTTTATTTGTTGCTGTTAACAAAAACATTGTTTATTTGTCCCTGATCTTTCTGTATGATTAAAAAATGGTTGTGAAAGAGGAGAAAATAAATTGGGAAAATGTTGTTTTGAGCGCTGAATTTAATGTGAGGATGGTAGGAGAAATTCAGCGTTTACTTCCTCATGTTAGTTGTAAAGTTTTGGACTATGTCTGAGATTTTCAGCCTCTGAAAACATCTCAAGCACCCTCAACTCATTTTTCCAATCATGATCCTTGTATCTCTTTTGAGGAGATCAGCTTTTTTACAAGATGAAAAAGTACTTAGACTCCTGAGTTTCAATAACATTTGATTTTGAAGTAACCAATATTCTTACCTGATTCGCAAGTAGCAAATTTAGCTATTTTCTCAATTTGGAAAAAATCATGAAATCTAAAAATCCCTAAAAATTCTCTATAAATCCCTATACATCCCTTAAAATCGCAAAATTAAATACTCGCAAAATATGGCTCATATTTTTTCGTGAAATTTAATACTCGCAAAATTAAGTGAGAATAAGGTAACCAAAGCTACCTTCTTTTGGATGCACTGGAGGCGAAAATCTGGGTTGAATAGTGACAGTTAGCCTGAGAAAACAGTTGATATTTTGCAATACCACCATTAGTTTCCTCACGAAATGTCATCTGAGGAACGAGCCCTGAAATTCTATTCTGCTGATGTGTGACTGCCCAGATCTGGGTAGTAACACATCAGCAGTATGGAATTTCTTTACTGTTTCCTCTGACATCATTTCGCAGGGAAACCTGTGGTGGGGTTCTGCAATGTTAGCTGTTTACTAAGGCTAGACGCCAGTTTGAGTTCAAATAGACCCCCATTTTAGAGACCTTTAGCTTTAGGTTTTTCATGAGAAACCGCAAACTGCAATGTATTTGCCCTTTGTTTTCATGTTGGTTAGCAAAAAGGCAAACATAGAACAAGAAGGGAACAAATAAAGAAAAGTTCTTATGATAACATTAATTATTGCAACATTTATTTTGACACTGCTTTTGTTGTTATGTAGAACGATATGTACCTCCCCACCTTCGCAACAGACAAGGTCCTCCTTCTGGTAGAGATGGGTATCAGGATCAAATGTACAACCCTGGACCACGAGACTTTGGACCCAGAAATCCTTACAGAGGTTTGTTTGCACGTTCATTGTTGTATTAAAGTCGGTAACAGTAAGTTGTGCAAAATAATGCTCTTGTAAAGTCAAAAGAACGAGTGAAATTTACCAGTATCGTTGAAGCTGTGGCTGCCAATGTAGGAAAAACCCTGGTATGAAATAATAATCAATGATGTTCTTTACTTTCTCCAGATGGATTTTATCAACAAAACTATTATGGGGGCTACGGAAGGGGTGGTGGAAGAGGAGGGTATGGTAACCCTGGTATGTACTATGGCCGTGGAGGAGGGAACAGTTGGCGAGAACGAGGTGACAACCGAGGGTATAGAGGAGGCAGTGCCAACAGTGGTAAGAGATGAAATACCTGTGTAACCTTGTAAGCCCCAAGAGTTATGACCAACATTTTTTCCTCCCAACAATATAAATCCATAATCACAAGGAAATGCTTTTGAGAATTAATGAAATGATCACTCAAGGGTAAACACTTTGATCTTTTATCAAATTCTCTCCACCAATTTTTTGTGGAAATGTATAGAAATCGGTCTGGAGAATTTGTAAAGTGGATATAGAGACTTAGGGTTAACAATTTAAGCATTAAGCCAGTGTAGTCAGTGGTTATTTCTATACATGTAAGTGTGTGTGGCCTATAGATTGATGAAATGTGTCTTTTAGAAGTATGCCAAGTAAAATAATGATAAAGACTTTAACAACTTTTAAAACTCAAACAAACAATGTAGGACCAAACAACCCTGATAAAAGGGTAGATTTGAGTCAATTCAAATGAATTTTTGTAAAAAAAATTTATAATGTTTCTTGTTTCACATTTAAGTTATACATATTTACTGTATTTGCTACCTCTAGAAATGAAATTGTGGTATCATTCCAAAACTATTCCACCTGAAACTGATCACTGTTTCTTATTTTTTTCATGTTATTTCTTAGACTATGGAAGAAACTTTCAACCACCACCAGAAGACTGGTCTAAGTTGTTGCCGCGAAACGATCGTGTGGAAAGGTATAGATTATATGTTATTGAAAGGTGTGCCTGTATGCTTCTCCTGAAATATGATTAACAACTAAGCCGTGCCGCTGTGTAAGAATAACAGTTTAAGGTAACAGGCCCAAAAAGCTATAAAACAGAAATTTATGGTTAGTTTTAACTTAACCCTAATTTTTATTTCAGGGAACTTTTTAACAAGCATAACACTGGAATAAACTTTGACAAGTATGAGGATATTCCTGTTGAAGCTACTGGAAATGATGTTCCCAAGTGCATTGAATTGGTAATAATTGTGCTATAGAGGGTTGTTTGCAAATTTACAACTGTTTTTGTCTCTTATGTTACTGTACACTGAGAAATTGCACCATTTCAAGTCACAGTATTAACCAAACAGAAGAAAAACCAGAGACAATCACAGTGATACCTGTTTTTAGCACTAATAAAAATGGACAGAGTATCTCCTCTGAGCAGCAATGGTGAAAGTAATTATTTTGAAGCCTGGGTCAGTTTAATAAAACTTTCACACATGTAATTTACAAGTGTAGCCATTGTTCTAGAGTCTGAGAACAATAGCTACACTTTTAAATTACACTTTGGTTTTACACCCCTGGTTTTACCTTTGATTATTACATACAGCTGGCCCCAGTCATTCAATCTTTGGATAGTACTATCTCCTGGAAAAATCACTATCCAGTGGATAACCAGTTGTTCTATTTAGTGGATAGCGATTTATGCATTGGATATTGTTATCCACCTTTTGAACAAGTGGGGCCTGGACTACCTTAGCCTTGAGTCCTGTCGAGGCGATTGCATTCCTGAAGCAGTGTCAGATCCAGACCTTGAGATACGAGGAGGGGAGGGCGGTCATCCAGACCCTTAGATAAGGGGGAGGTGGGGGGCAGTCTCCAAGAAAATTTTTTTGGCTCATCGGGTCTTAGTTAGGAGGGGCCTGGGCCCCACTTGTCCCTCCCTTGGATCTGCCACTGTATAGCCTGTGTTGCTGGGGAAGCACAAGGGTTAGGGTGAAGATGCTAAAAAAAAGCTGGGGTGATAGAAACACGTTTGTCCAAGTGGTTTTCGATTTTTGTATCCTATATAATGTATGTCAAATTTCAGATTAGATCATAGAGACCAACCCCATAGCAGTGCGTTCATTAATGTTTTACTACAATTGAGTGAAAACATGTTTACTGTACATGTATTTAGTGTTACAGCAAATGATCTTAATTTGTTTCCTTTGTCCCTATTAGTTTACCGACTGCAACCTCGGTGAAATCTTACACAACAATATTGGGGTAGGTAATTGCAATTTTTTATGTCCTACTTTCATACGCAAGAGGAGTTTCATGTGACATCTAGACTTTTCAAACTCATAAAGAAAATACAAAGGAAATTAATGAGTGTTTAGGAATGAGATGAAAAACTGCTCATTTTTGCATCCTTAATTTCTCCTTCCAAAATCCTTTTGTTTGAGAAATAACATCAAGTAAAATTCTAGTTTTTTCTATAGTTTTTTCTAAACCAGTGTAAAGACTTAAGATGCCAGATGCAATACCCTCTACAGTGTTTGATTTAACTTTAAAATGACCAATTTTATTAGGCTTGCAGAGAAACTGTTAGATTTTGCTGTTTATTAATTTTTCTTATAGTTGGCAAACTATTCCAAGCCTACTCCAGTTCAGAAGTATGCCATAACCATTGTTAAGGCCAAAAGAGACCTGATGGCTTGTGCCCAGACTGGTAAATTGTCTCAATTTTCTTCCTTGTGATTACTTTTTACCTTAAATGTTAAGGCCGTTACTTATTGTCGGTGAGAGAAATAGATGGCATTAAAGATGAGATATATAAAGATGAGCTGTTTTAATGTGAATCATTGACTTTTACAACGTAACTGTCATACTTGTTTGATTTTTAGGATCTGGAAAAACTGCAGCCTTTTTGATCCCAATTCTCAGCAGGATTTTTGAAGAAGGTCCACCACCCCCTCCTGATGTAAGCAAGCCTTTTAATTTTTGTTTGCTTTTAATGATAAGGGGCCTCAATGATGACAACACCTGTAAGTGCACTGTACATGTCCCATGTTAGACACATTTTAAAACTTCCTTCCAAGAGACTCTCTTCTTCTTGGCCTCTAGCAGTAGGGGAGCGGTGTGCAAAGAAAGTCGTGTCCGATAGCCTGGGGCTAGTGGATTTTGCTATTGGGCTAGTAAATTCTGTTCTTACTTGACTTGCCCAACGGGCAAGTGAAGTTTTTTTAGGAATTCAAATTAAAGAAGAACTGTGAAATTTATCTGCTCATCAAAACATTTTTGGGGCTAGTTGAAATGATGTTTGGGCTAGTAAATGTTAAACCCCGGGAAGGAATAGACCCCTGGAACAAAGTTGGATTAGGATGAAAATGAGAGATGAAAAAATGGCCCCCGAGTTGACAACACCTGCAAGCCTACTATTTCCTACAGTAGGGCTTTATCTATGTGTTTGTCTGTTGAATCTACATGGGTGCTGTTTTCCCAGTTAAACTTGGAACCTCTGAGACTTGTGACATGTGTCAGAGATTCCTGTTCTGCAATGTTACATTTTGCTTGGTTAGTTACCTTTGTACAGTTCAGTGGTTTAGACCTGTAAGCTTCGTTTTTTCTGGCCAGTCCCATTTCAACAACTGAGATTTGAACACTTCATGAAAATGCTGACAATTTCCTTTAGGTGAGGCAACAGTCTCGACGAAAGTGTTTCCCTATTAGTCTGGTTCTTGCACCCACAAGAGAGCTTGCAGTCCAGATTTTTGATGAAGCCAAGAAGGTATCAGATCTTCATATTTTTACCATTTTGTGTTTTGATGTTTGAACTATCCAATGGACATGTATACTAAATTCATAGAGTTCTGTTTGTATTTTGGGTACACATAATGAGTCAGATGAATGAGGTTTCAAATAACCAAAAGACTGTCAAACTCTGAAGTTCAGCTGTGCTTGCATTATGACATTATTAAATATAGCAGAGAAGAGCAGCTGAAGAAACAAGACCTTGCCACAATATTATTGTTGTTAGTTGGTGCACATTGTTTTATGGAGGGAGATAGGGTAAATTTCTTAGAAACTACACTAGATAATATCTGACCTATCCATAAATCATCTACAAAAAGTCTTGGGACCTTTACTTGAGTTCAATCAATACTGTGCCCTAAGAAAAATTGAAGGGAGTCCAGTGATCTGAACATGTGAAATCCAGGGTGCCCAGCATATGATTTCTATGAAAAAAAACTAAGATTTTCTAGTCACTTGAGAGCAAAAGTAAGCTGCTGGGTACCACTAGAGCACAGCCTTGTCAATCTCATATTTTTTCTTCAACCCTTTGCAGTTTGCTTACCGATCATACGTTCGTCCCTTTGTTGTGTATGGTGGTGCTGACATTAATTCCCAATTAAGAGACCTGGAATGGGGCTGTCATGTCCTGGTGGCCACACCCGGTCGCCTGGTCGACTTGATGGACAGGGGACGCATTGGACTGGACATTTGCAAGTAAGTTCAAGTCACAAGTTCTTACATTCATACTGTCACTGATCAGATACATCCTCATGCTTGTAAATTAAAAGGAGAATTTAATTTTGGATCAGGAATTTCACTTTTGGCCATATTCTGTGCACATCTTAAATTGAACTTCAAGATAATTCAACCCTCTCTGCTGGAACATTCTAACTGTTAGTCACTGTCAACTGAAGGAGGAACCAGCCTAGCCCGGATGTCCATCCTTGCATCGGTATTCTTTACATTGGGGTCTGTCACAAAAGGTTTGGTTGTAGTAGACTGTAGACAAAACCCCAGACTGTGAGCATTCATATAAATCAAAGTTCTTGATTACAGCACTTCTCGCTGCTGTACTGTGGGCAAAGTTTCTACATGTATTTGATTCAAAATGTCATATCATCAGGTTTCTTGTGCTTGATGAGGCTGACCGTATGTTGGACATGGGATTTGAGCCCCAGATACGTCGTATTGTGGATCAGGATACTATGCCTAAAGCTGGTGATCGCCAAACACTGATGTTTAGTGCCACATTCCCTAAAGAAATCCAGGTGAGTTATTGCAGCTGACTAGTGTTTTTTGCAGTCTGCTATGTGTGTGAATCTAAACTTAATCAGTGCCAGCTACTGATGCTGTTTGTGCAGAAGCACAAACAAGCCTCTCCTATGACCTTCCGAGGTTGCTAATGATTAATAGTTTATTGTTCATAACTGCTGAAAATGCCATGAGCTAAATTATTCAGACCTTATCGAAATGTGCAATCTGACCCATATATGCAAAAGTATGGGTAGGATTTTTTATTCTCTATGCTTGTTATTATGAATAGTATAATAGTCTTATTGGATAAGTTTTAGTTCTTCCTAAAGGTTGTTTTCTTTTTTGTTGTTTTATTATTTTCTTGTGTACATATGCTAAAGTTGAAAACATATTAACCACTGAGATACCTAAGGAGTCTTGTTAGGTAAAATACATTTAGAGGTAGAACTCTTGTTCAAGGTGACAGTTTAGTGGAAATCTTTCTTACAGATGCTTGCAAGAGACTTCTTGGTGAATTACATCTTCTTGGCTGTGGGACGTGTGGGTTCTACAAGTGAGAACATCACACAGAAAGCAGTGTGGGTAGATGAACCAGACAAGAGGTCATTTCTACTGGATCTGTTAAATGCTTCAGGTAAGAGCTTAGTTGTTGAAGTGTCTGCCTTGGTTTAGATTGTTGGTGTTTTGGTATCTCTTTACATGTAAGACCTACAGCATTTTAAAATGATCATAACTGTTCAATTAACAAATCAACAACAATTTTATAGGGTGTGTACTCTTATCAAGCAGGGTGTTTATTAGGCATTGAACATTGGAGAATTCTCCATTCACTACACAGAATTCTCCGGCCAACATTTGGTAGCCTCTGACTATTTTTTCTTCAGATGTGGAGTCTCTTTTCGAATATTCTCCTGTAACATTACACCTTTTTCCTGCTACTAGAATTCGTAATGAAAACCCTGATCAACCATAGAAATGACATGTTAATGTTCAAAACTAAAGTGGAACCATGAGCTGCTGAGTCACTCCCTGTTAGGAAGGAGCATTCAAATCATGCTTGTTGAAACTTGTAGAACAACTTCTAAAACTGAACCAGTCATTTCTGGTCATTATACTTTGTGATAAACTAAAAAACTAAAATTTATTTTCTTCCCTTTGCACGTTGCTCTAACTATCAGGGCATCCTGAGAGACACTGCTAGCAAAAAGTGAATCTTGATTGATTCATACTGCCTTAAAGGCATACCAGATTTTCTCAAAGTGTAAACATGGGTTAGTACAACTCACTGTTGTAATTGACAAATCAGAGTGCTGGCTTTACCTTTTTTTAAGTTCAATTATATGTCTATTCTAGTAATGAGTGATGCAGTCCAATAATTTTTAAGTAATTATTGGTATCGACTGTGTTTGTTTACTTCTATTAGGTCCTGATGCCCTGACGCTTGTTTTTGTGGAGACCAAAAAAGGCGCTGATCTCTTGGAAGAGTACCTGTGTAATGTTGGCTACCCTGCAACCTCCATTCATGGTGATCGCTCACAGCGTGAGAGAGAGGCAGCCCTCAATTCCTTTAAGAGGGGTGTCACCCCAATTTTAGTGGCCACTGCTGTAAGTTTTATATATGTTTTCATGTGCTTGAACTTGTGGTCACATTATGAGTTCTTTCTTTTCTTGATTTGGATTTGTTTATTACTTTGTTCATTCTAGGTTGCTGCTCGTGGCTTGGACATTCCTAATGTGCGCCATGTGATAAACTTTGACATGCCAACAGATATCGAGGAGTATGTGCACCGTATTGGACGCACAGGCCGTGTGGGGCATACAGGTAACCAATACAACTGCATGACTTGAATGTTATTCCTGCGCATATGTAGATGCAGTAATACTCCTTTTGGGGTGAATGATAGTTGTGGTGCCCTAGTTTTGTGGTTGTTATGTCAGACTTTCTAGTTTTTTATGCAGGTGTTTTTTTATCTTACTTATTGTATGCCTTGTATTTTCTTGAACGGATAATTTTTAACCCTTTTACTTCCCTGTGTGGCACCATACATGACATGCATGGGACAAAGTGCCCTGTTCATGTCTTTTCTTTTGAGTATTCCCCCTTTTGATTCTTGAACCATGTTATGTATTTATATATAGACTTATACTTCAGAGGTCCTGAATTCAAGTCTTGCCCCTTTTTCAGTCTTAACAGAAAAGCCAGAGGTGAAGTCCAATTAAGAAAATAAAGGAATTTTTTGTCCTGAAGTCAGTTGTTTTGAATCGGTACATAGAATATGGTGGTAAATGACTCCTGGTCTAATATCAAAATCTCCCAGGCTTTGATTTATAAGCACTGACAAGGCAAATTGGAACGAGAACCGTAGCAATAATTAATATAAGTCACTTAGGCCTACATCCAGGCACCCCTTAAATAATAAAAATTGTTGTGTGCTATATTCTGTCAGGTCTTGCAACATCATTCATCAATGAAAAGAACCGTAATGTAGCCAAGGATATGGTTGAGCTGTTGAATGACACCAGGCAGGAAGTGCCAAACTGGCTTGAGTCTCTTGCTTTTGAGAGCCATCAGAACTCTGGAAGGAACAGGCAGCGGAGGTTTGACTTCATTCCACTTGTTTGTTGGCTGTTATCCCTTTAAGCCCCAGTATCTACATACAAATTCTCCAAACTGATCTCTATACATTTCCTTAAAGAACGAGTTAAGAGAATTTGTTAGAAGATCAAGGCATTTTTACTTAGATGATTATTTTATTAATTCTCATAACTTATCTGTTGACAATGTATGGATATTGTTAGGAGAAAATTGATCTTGGTCACTATTGGGACTTAAAGGGTTATTTAACCCAGAGCTTTCCCTAGCTTGATATGAGATCTCTCTTCCAATGCCACTGCAGGGTAAAATTACTGAGTTTCCTTTACATGAATGATAATGGCACATGATCATGAATCTGGCGGCAGACTCTGGTTGTTAACAGAATTTTTTTTTGTGAAGAAGGAGTAAATTGTGCAAGGGGAAGCATGTTTTAGTACACAAAACATAGTGCCTATCATAGCAAACAACACAGAACACATTACTATTGTGGAAGTCCATTACTTTCGTAAACCACGATTTGCTGTTGAATTCATTTCTACACCCAGCCCTAACAGTAAAACACCTTAGTACAGCATTTCAGAAACAAGACTATTCTTGTGTTTTGTATAAATAGTCATTCACAGAGTTTGAAGTTCTGTTGAATGATTACTAATGTCCAGAATTACATGATGATTAGCAAAGAAACTCACAGAAAATCCTAACTTTCCAATAGGCATCCGGGTGGTTTTGGATCCCGTGACTACAGGCAGCAGCCACATCACCGTGGGGGTGGAGGCGGAGGCCAACACTATGGGGGGTATGGTGGGTATGGCAACATGGGCTACTGGAATCAAAACCGCCATCATGGGCACAGTGCCGGAGCTACCGATTGGTGGAACTAGAGCATGTCGTACTGCTGCTACTATCAAGAGTTATTTTGTTTCTTTGTTTGGTTAACGTTGAAGGAGTTAACCCATTTTGTTCAGTCTTTGATGAAATAAGTTAAAATTGGAAATGTCGCATTGGCAATATCTGGCATCAAATAAGGCATCTGGTGGTTATGGAATGGTGAGGATGAAGCAGTTTTTGGCGACTTGGTTGATCCCAGGCTAGAAGGGATCAAAGCAAAAAAAAGATGACCTGGTAGTCTTCACTCTAGGAAGTGCAGTGGTCCAGAGTGCATCCATACAAAGGCTCTTCATTGAATGTCCTCAAGGAAAGGCTTGGTTCAGTTTATACAGACTACTGCCACAAAGCACCCAGAGACATGTTCTGTTATTGTTTTCAGGGCACAGTTCACAAAAGCCTGTTTTAACATGCTTAATGTACAGACTTCTTGCAGCAGACACAGAAATGGGCATGAGAAAATCAGAAGAAATATTTAACATCTTTGGTGACAATATTTTGAACGCTAGCATCGTTTTTAGATTGAAGTCCATGTATGAATACTATTAGTAATTCACATGTGTTCAAACAGATAATAATTATTAACTGTTGTAGTTAGTTGAAAGTACTTGATGAGAATGATTCCATGACTACATTTACATTGAGAGCTTTAGTTGTGAGAGACTTACAAGGTTAGGCTTTCCTTGAAGCCCCATCAAATGAAGGTGGTTGCTGTGTTGCATAGGTTGACCGCCAGAACTGTCTTTAAAACCACTTGAGATTTCTAGAAGTTTGCTTAATATGTGTCCGTTGTTCAAGTTTCATTATGGCTGGCATGTTCTACAGGGAGATAAAAAGAAAAAAGATATATCTTGACACGCCTCAGGATTTTGTTTGGATTCAAAAATGTAGGATCTGCAACATCAGCAGGTTTTTGACTCTAAGAAAAAAAAATGCCCTCTTTTCTGAAACAATGAGCATGCATGTAATGTTGGAATCTAAAAGGCTTTCCTTTGTGTCATTTTTATTACCAGCAAATCTTGATGAAATGGCAGTCATTTGAAAGCTTCTCACATATGCAAAACGATGTACATTCACAGCAGAAGAGATAAGAATAATAGTAATATTACATGCTTGGTGGCTTTATAGATACATATGTCAGAGTATTAATTTTTAATAGAGAATAATTTTATACTCTGGGTTTTTGGCCACCTTTATTTTGAGGATAAAGAAAGGAAGAGAGCTGTGAGTTGTAAATCCGAAACATGTACCAAATTATGGTTTTGTAGATAATCAAGTTTCTCTTCTTCCCGCAAAAGAAGTTTAATATATTTTAGTGTTCTTTGACTTAAAAAAAGATAACTTTCTGCTTTCAGGGGGTTACCTGTACATTCTAAAATTTACCTTTAGTTAAAGAAAATCTGAATTGAAAGCAGATGAAAAAACTTTCACACAGGACAGTCTTCTGGACTTTATTCACAGACTCTAGAGAGTTACAACTTCAGTTTAGTCTAATTTTTGCAACTTAGAGGCAGAATCATAGGTAATGCATGGTTTCCTGAGTTATTATTAATAATAATATTTTTTGTCTTCTGTTGTGATAGTGTAGCTGTCTGCCTTATACCCCAAAAAAGTTGTCGCCAAAGTATTTATGATGAATTGCTAGGAGAGAAAAATGTCCATTTTGAAACATCAGAGAGGTTTTACACTTGACTCACACTTGAGTGGTATCAATATTTTTTTTTAACAATACAAAATTTTCTCCTACACGCACTAAATAGAATTGTACAGTAGTAGTTTATGAAATCCTTTAGAGCTGACTTAGGCAAAAAAGTTGCAGGGTTATAACTTCACTTTTGTATTAACATTCAGTTAAGGAAAACATCTCAAACAAGCTTTTACATAAAAAAGCATCCCTCAAATGTGGAAAGTGCTTTTGACATTTTTTGTGGGCTTTTATGTTCGAACTAAAACAAGTTAAAGAGCCCAAAGATGCTATTTTATTTGATAAAAATCATGTTGGGTTACAATAGAATGTTTCAATTCATCATGGAAAATGATGTTTCACTTTCTGTGCATAGCTGGTTATCCATCTGAATATCTAGAAATAATAATATCGTCTATTTGAAGTTTCCGCAATGTAATATGCTCACATGTCTAGAGTATTTATTTTGTTCAAAAATTATGAAAAGAGTTCAGCAGAAGTTTCCCGTACCAGGCCAAACAAATTTGCCTTTTGGATGTTTATTATTAAGGAAAAAGTAATGACTGATATTTCTAGTAAATGTCAGTAATTAAATTAGATATACTATATCAAGAAGTGTAATACCATGCAAGGTAGAAGTCAATTTTAACACCAAACATTGAACATTTTTTTCTTTTTTACAAAATACTGAGATGGTACCTTTATAAGCAGTTGTTAAAGAGTGAGCGGAAGCCAAAATGTGGAAGTTTCTGTGCAAACAGATTGACTTGTGTAACCTCACTCTACTTAAGACTGACATCCTATAACCAGATTCATATGACACAAAACTAGGGTTCAGTGTCAGTTTGGCTGGATCACGTAAATATTGTTTCCTGTTTAGCGAAGGGATATTAATCTTTATCGTCTTGCCCATAGCACATCTATCCCCTGATGGTTTGGTTTATTGCTTCTACCTTGCTTCTTTTGCTGGCAGATCAAGGAATGGTGTATATGGACAGCATATTTCAGTGAAGTGTGCAGTCTTCAGTCACTAGTCTAAGTTTAGTTAGTTAATGTTTATTTTGTTGATATGGGTCGTTTCTTGGGGGAGAGCTCACTGCCTTGGCAGTCACGTTATTTGTATTTGATGTCAGAAGCCAATATATTATGAACATTGCAGTGATTATCATGGTGTTTGTCTTTTTTTCTTTTAATAATATTAATTGGTGGAATGAAATACTTTTTATTGCACTGTAAATTATGTATTCAAACGATAATGACTGGTAGAAACGTAACAACGTTGATGTATTTGGTTGACTAGCATTTCGGGTGAATACATTACTGCAGTAAATAGTATTTGTATTCAGTTTTTTAGCAGTTTGGTGAATATGCTGTGGTTCAATTTGATCCTTGACTTAACTTTTTTTTTTCTTTGTGTTCAATACAATATCATACATTACCATCCCAAAATAAGGGAAAATGAATGCAAACGAAGGATAAAAATTGAACCTCTACAAATACATCACTTAGCAAATATGGTATCATATTTGATTGAGTTTTTTATTATACATTATGTGTCAGAGTAATGTATGCATTCGATTGGCGTGGGTCAACAGTAATGTAGTCCTCTGATTACCATTTTTTGGTGAAATGCATTTCACTGTGACAGCAATGTCTTTGGATCATTTGATTATTCAACACATCATTTGGTGAATTCATTATGTGTTAACAGTAATGTATTTGATTGATCAACATTTTATTGAATACATCTGGCCAAAAAGCAGCCTATTCACTGTACCAACTCAAATGTCAAATGGCTAGAATAAGTCCCAAGGTTGATAAATTATTCATGGTTTCTTGAACTGTCGGCCATCTTTATCAAAAACTAAGAATTTCCAACATGTCCAGAAGCCCTCAGAAGGATTTCACCCCAAGTAGCTCTATCAAGGTGCACCCTCCCTCCCCACTGGTTTTGGGTGGGGATCACTTGGGTCCATATAGTCCTAACCTGCAATCAGGCATTTTTTATTCCTCTTTTTTTTCGGGAAGGCAAAAAAGTCAAAAGGGATGAAGGACTGCCTGATCACAGGTTAGTTTAGTCCATACTTTGTGTAATCAACAACTAAAGGAGCCCTGGGAACCATTGAGGGCTCCTGATACCTTTTGACATTGTTAGTTTTGATAAAGATGCCTCAAAGCTGTCATATTTTGGTTATAAGCCTTGGCGACAAGGTTGAAAGCCACCTGCGCCTTGGGCTATTGCATAAAATATCTTTCCTCTCCTGGCTGTGGACCAATGGGACTCTTCAGGAGAAACCTATAAACATTGAGGGATCTCTTTAGGGGTAGAGTGAAAAAATATGGAACTGTTTTGGGGTAAAGCTAAAGCTTTAATTCTCACGAAATTCTTCAGGGGTAGACCCATATTCAGCGGCGGCAGAGCAAAGTGAAAAGTGGTGGGGGCGGGGGGCGCTGAAAATAAAATTTGACATTCCATTTTCTTTTTCACCCCCACTTCCCTCCCCCGAGGCGTCTCAGAGCGGAAAAACTTCTCTCCGACGTAGAGACTCGTGTTTTTTAAAAAATGGAAGTTGGTCCTGCATACAGCAAAATTAAATGTGGGACTGACCCAACAGATTCATTGTAAACCCATTCAATTAAAGTTTTGTATAAAAATAGTGTTTTTAAGTCCTAATGAGTCGACCGTGGTAAAATGTAAGAAAGTTATTTATTATTCTACAAAAGTAACCTGAGTATCAGGCCTTCCTAATGGGCTAGGGGAGAGGAGACTTTAGATGGGGGAGGCGGGAGGGGGAGAAGAGAAAGTTTCTCTTCTTCAGCTCTCTCCATTTTTCGCTTCCATCTTTCCCGTTTTCTCCCAGAAACGCCTGATACTCAGGCTAACAAAAGTAGGGGGCTGCACCCCCACAAAAAAAAAATGTTGGTGGGGAAGGGTGGGGGGGTTCCGCCGCCTAGAAGCGAATTCGACGACGTGACATGATCTGTGACATACATCCTACTGTGATTCCTGTGAAACAAAAACCTGTCAGCGGCAGGTATCACGTGATCAAACCCAAGCTCCTTCCTCGGCCGGCGTTATTTTGAGAGATACAGAATGGCTCCTCACTGTTTTGCTCTGTAAACTTTAGGAGTTCTTGATTCATGAGCACTGATTGTACCAAACTAGTGTGTTCACTTTTTTTTATCAAATATCCTAATGTGAACGAGTGCATTTATGAACGTTGGAGCGTATAAATCGGACAAGGCGTAGGACGATTCGTCAAGAGTGATCATCGTCGGATGTGACGAAAGTTCCCGCAGCTTAGAAGGTTTACGCGATCTGCAGTCGAACTGGCTCAAAAAAGCTTGGTGATAACACTGCGGTTGAAATCGCATCACTTATATTACATGTAAAATGGCGTACGGACTGGACGATATTGACCTAGCATCGTTAAAGGTGAGTAAAATTTCACTTTTTGGCGTGTTGTATTCCTTCATATTTTAGTTTCTTCGTGTGAAAAGTTAGATTAAAAGGTTTCCAATTCTGCGATAATTATTCCTTGAGCTGTTGAGCTTGTAAAATTGTCGGGTTCTTTGTAGGAGGCTTATTTCTTGTCAGAGAAGATTTATGTATGCAACGATTCGTGAACATATTGAGCGAAGCAGCTTATCTAAAGACAAGTGAACCTGAAAATTTTACGGTGGTTGTCTTTCTGATGTCGCTTTGTCGTTACCCTAATTTAACGTCTGGCTAGTAAACACAAATTCCTGGGGTTCTTCCTACCTAGTGAGATTAATCTTTTTGATGATTGTGTTGTGTGATCTATTAAAAAATAAACTTGCTAAGAAAATTGCGTTTTTTCGGAAGGATCCTGCCGGAATTTTCGACTTGGTGGAAGTAGTTGGAAATGGCACATACGGACAAGTTCATAAGGTACTTTGTATGCAACACTTAGTTGAAAGAAATTGTTTTAACTAAAGATAGCATAAACGCTCTAGTGATTTGTTATTCTACTCGCGTCTTTTATTTATATGTCGATGTACCGTAAGGACTCGGCAAATTGCTCGCGTGAAAGCCTAAGAACTATTCAAACTCGATTCTTAAAATCAATAAATTTCACAACATTCCATCAGATTGTACATGTTGCACTCGGTTGGTACTAATTGTAACAATCACATAAGCGTTAAAACTTTGTCTTTCCTTGCGCTTCTATGTTTGTTTATTTTACAGTTTTATTTCTGCATTTATGAAGCTTTCATATTTCAACAAATTTCAATGAGTGCTAAGTAAATTATGACAGGATTATATTTGAAAAGCGATCGTAATTTGGCTGGAGTTACTTGGATTGTATGTGGGTGTTTTGTTACTTATTTTGGCTCTTTGGTCATCTCTGACAGGGTATAATTTATTTATTTATGGATATTCTGTGGGATCTTTCTTTTTACAGTGTATTTGGTGATAAAATTGATAGAGCGTTTGAGCAGATTTTACAATGATTTTAGGGTTTAGAGTAGATTAGTTTCAATACCGACCACTTGTTGACAGTGTTATTTCAAATCTCTACTTCCCTAGAACATACTTCTCACTTGGGAACCATCAAAATAAACATTATCAAGAATACGTACCATTTTTTATGTAACATTAACTGTCCTTCATTCAAGCATTTCTTCACACAAGTTTACATTGCAGTTAACTCACTATAATGATAATTTTTATGGTGAAAAATAATAGTGTGATTATGGAATTCAGGGTCGTTTTATAAGTATGTTTACCTTATGTATATGTGTGGGAATGTAGTAAGGTTCAAGGAACTATGATGGGTTCTGATAGTGTTCAATGAGACATAAACAAGTGGTCCTTTGACGAGTTTTGTCTGATAATTCGACCACCAATACCGTATTTCCTCTAATAATAGCCGGGGGCAATTATTTCTTTTTTCGCATCAAAAGGGGGCAATTATTCAAGGGAGGCAATTATTTCAAAATAATATTGCTCACTGCCAGTCATGACCTAAATATTTTGTTTCATTATCCAAAAATCCAAATCCAAAAATTATCACAACAAATAAACTGAACATGGGCTTTTTAATTGTTCCAAATTTAGTTGCTTGATTAATAGTCAGTGATCAGTTTTGCTGGACTAATTGACAGGGACAGGATAAACAAGGTTGCCACAGTTTTCAAGGTCAGGGAAAAGTCAGGGAATTGTTCAAAACATCAGGGAAAATCTTTGATATTGTCAAAGTCATTGAAAAGTCAGGGAATTCTGTATTCCGGTTTATACTTCATAAGTTTTCTTCAAGATTTTGAAATCATTTTCTTTTGGAAAAGATGAAACGAATGCTGCAAAGCAAGCAAAGCGATCAATTTGACACTCTACACCTGAGACATGTCGTAGTTGTGGTCAGTAGTTTTTGTTGTGGATGCTTTCTTCCAAATTCGTTCTTCCTCTTTCTGCAAAAAGTGGAAAGAGGTTGAAAATGAAGAGAAAACTATGGATGGCCTGCAAAAAAGGCTAAAGTGAATGTAAACATGGATTGTTTCTCATTAATAAAAGGTCAGTGAAAACTGTTTAAAGGTCAGTGAAAAGTCAGGGAATTTTTAGCTTTCTGATAAGTGGCAGCCCTGATAAAAGAAAGAAGATGGCGAGAGGGGGAGGAGGCGATTATTTTTAAGTATTTCCATCAAAGGGGGAATGAATGATTGATCAAAAACACTGCATGTGTCTTTTTAGATTTAATATTGTTGCAATCAGGGATTGTCACTCCTAAATTAACAACAATTTCACACTTGGTGCATACTATATCTATCAGCAAGAACTTCCTTTTACTCTCAGTAATCAAAATTGAAACAAAAAATTCCAAATTTCTTTTAAAAAAATACTACCTCAAAAAGAAATGGTACGGTGCTTATGTACTACCAAAGAGGCTTCATTTAAATTCAAACAATGTGGCAATGTACACACAACTTTCCGTTCCTCACCCCTCTGTGCAATGTTGTGCCACTATTAGAGCTTACTGTGAGAAACAGCAAACACCCCAACTTTCATTTGAGCAGAGGGGGGAGGGTTACAGTTTGTTTTGTGCTCCAAAATACCATATTTAATGACATTGTCCATACAGTTTTGCCACCAATTTTTTGGTGGAGAATTGTCAACCCCCTCTTCACCCCACTTCCCCCCTTCTTCTCAAATGGGATACTAGTCCATCACAGGGTTCCTCGGGCCAGTACATGTATGTCACAATATGATATACACTTCCAGCATGTGCCTTGTCTGCGTGAAGACATTTTTTTTGCCTTTTTTGTGTGTTTAAATAATTTAGTTCAAAAGGCACTTTAAAAATATTATCTTGCTCAATTTTGACTTGTGTGGGTGTGTGTGTGGGTGCATGCGCGTTTGTGTTTTAATGAATAACAAAGCTATATTAGAATAAAGTCAATCTTGTTAAAGGCTCATAATTAGTTTTACTATAACGTGCCCTTCTCCATTCTAATTTCCTTTTTTTTAAAATTATGTACACGTAGTCTAAGCAACCTTGTACTAATTGATATTGTACAACTAATTATTATCTATAGGATGGAGTAAAAATAAAATACGAAATACAAATACACTTCACTAACAGCTTACTGCAACTGTATAATTTTCATGGAGTATAAGTTTCATGTCTCATTATTATTGTTATCATCATCATCATGATTTGACCCTGTCAGTCTCAACTCTTTGAGCTGTGGTCTTATCCCATGCATTCCTGTTCAGCATTGTGCTCACAAGATCCTTCCTTTAAAATCCTGGAAATCCCTCAAGATCATATCTGGGAATGTAATTTTCCTTGAATGATCTTGTTAGTAATGAGCGGAAAATTAAAGACGGCATTTCGTCAGCTCTTTGGGAGGCTGGTGGTAGTTTGTCATAAATCTGCTCATGTGTTGCGTGCTGTGACCAGGGGATGGATCCTTGTCTAAGGAGACAACACAACAGCTAGCTTGAACCCAAACCCACAGGCGCATAGTCTGAAGTGTTAGCAGCTTGCCCATACTACTGGTACTTAGTCCAGAATACAACTGGCAAATGGGCCAATTCTGAGCTTCCCCAGGCCTCTGTATCAAAGCATGATTAAGTGCTCAGCCTTTGATATGGAAATGATGTTTCATTCTTATGCAAACAAAACTCATTTTCACAAGAAAGTTTGTGCACTTAGCCTCATTTTGAAAGTGAGGGTTTTTAGAAGTCAGAAAAAAAAAAATAACATGCCACATTCATTTGTTCTTTGAACCAACCAGGATGAGAATTCCATTTTAGCAAAAGCTCAATTAAATTTGATTGTTTCACGATAAGTACCATTGTTGCAACAAAGTAACTTCTATTAATTTTGTGTTGAACACAGGGCCGTCACAAGAGGACAGGACAACTGGCTGCTATCAAAATCATGGATGTCACTGAGGTTAGTTTCTTTCCTGTACGAATGTCTGCATGTAATATCACTTATTACTACTATTTTCAGGAGTTTCTCAGGCCTTAAAAATGGGATTGTATTTTGGCCCGCCTCCTGAAAGCATGGCTGAGCTTCTGAAATTTCAAGAGCCTCAGGACATCAGAGTTTGGCTCATCGCAATAATTATTTTAAGAATTTACTTCATCAATTAAGTTGAAATACCAGGTACTCCAATCCATATTTCATTGCAGATACTTTTCCTGTCACAGCCTTGAAAATCTTCATAGTCTCTATGATTCTGAGTAAATTTTTAAAATTAATTTTTGAACAATAATTTCATATTAATAATGCAATTTTATATTCTGTAAGACTGATTTACAGCCTTTATTTTTATTAGGATGAGGAAGAAGAAATTAAACTAGAAATAAATGTACTTAGAAAGGTAAGCATGTAATGGAAAGGTTTGCACTTACTTTGTTCAGGTTGAGAGGTTGTTTAGGTATTTCTCTTATTAACATCAGGCTCCAGTTGTTCAGGGCTGTTATTAAGAGCCGAGGGCTGGGGATTTCCCTCAGCCACTATAAACATGGTCCCTGGCTACTTTCATTGGAAAAGAGAAGAAAGATAGAACCAAAAGAAATCCCTAGCTGTTTGATTCCCTGCCTGCTTGTTGTATTTACCTGGCAACTTGAAATCTTAGTGACCAACCCAAAGGATAGATTGGATAAATTATTATCCAACAGATAAGTATTAACAGGTGTATTTTATAATGTGCTAAAATACACTCGTTTAATATTTTTGTTTCCAGTTTTCACATCATCGGAATATAGCAACCTACTATGGAGCGTTTGTTAAGAAGGGACTACAAGGGCAAGAAGATCAACTGTGGGTATGTTTGGGGATCCATTCATCTTCCTTACTATAGTACAAAATAAATTATCTCCATTAATGTCTCAATTTGTTTCTGTGACAGCTTGTGATGGAGTTTTGTGGTGCAGGATCCATAACAGACCTAGTAAAAGGTGTGGAAAAATTATATTTTGATTGGATAATAATAGTGATAGTGACCATCAAAATCCCCTGATTATAGACTGTAGAGTTTCCTAGTCAGGCTTTCACTGGGTTCATAATGCAATTATTCTTGCATAAACTGCTGAAAGAAGATTTTTTGACTTGCATACATTGTTAGCGCTACATGCAGCAGCTCATCACAACCAGTAGGCTCAATAGCTTCTGTAGTTCTCTGTACAGCTCAATCTTCTCCTGAAAGCAATCTACTCTTTTTGAATGTTTTTAGAGGGCTACATGCATCTGTTGCTTTATAGATTTTTACTTTTTGTTGACCACTGTTCTTCAAATTATTTCTTTCCCTTTTTTTGCTTCATAGCATCAAAGGGCAAAGCATTAAAGGAGGAGTGGATTTCATACATCTGCCATGAAGTACTCAATGTGAGTGTTCCTGTATGTTGTACCGTAAAATTCTGAAAATAAGCCCCGGGGCTTATATTTTTCAAAGGCCCTTTTTGAGGGGCTTATTTTTGGAGGGGCTTATATTGGGAGGGGCTTATCTACGGAGGGAAATTTGGGTTTCAAAACTGATTGGGCTAGCCTTATAGTTGGAAGTAAATTTCCTGTTTTTGCTTTGTTTTACTTTGTATTTGAGGGCAATTTTCCAAGTACAAGCTCCTGGGGGGTGTATATTTAAAGGGGTGATTTAATGGAGGGTTTTTTGCGTTACCAGTTTGGGGGGCCTAGATTATTTTGGAGGGGCTTATTTTCGGAATTTTACGGTATGTTACATCTTAGTAGTTTTCTGGAGACTTACTATACTCAGTTCTTGTTTTTATTTTTCATCCTGGGCAGGGTGTGAGTCATCTTCATCAAAATCACGTCATACATAGAGATATCAAGGGACAGAATGTGTTGTTGACTGATGGGGCAGAAGTTAAGCTTGGTAAGTACCTCAGAAACTGTGTCATAAAACTCTAGTCCCTGCACATAGACACCTAAACATGCTTGCTAGTATGGTGCAGAACTAACTGACTGGGTAATCTTTTAGGGTGACATATCTCAATTCTGACATATCTCTTTTCTTGTAGTTGATTTTGGAGTTAGCGCTCAACTTGACAGGACTATTGGAAGGAGAAATACTTTCATTGGTACTCCATACTGGTAAGGATAATCATTTTGCATTATCTTGATGTATAATATAATAAATTGGAACAAGAAACAAACAAGTGGACAGCAAGGTTAAAACAGGAATTTTCTGTGGTTCCTTCTTGGGGTCACCAGGAGTCGGATATTGAGGTCATCCATTTGAAACTGCCTTGCACATAATAAAAGAACGTATAGTAGATTAAAAAGCACATGCAATCATTCAGTTGTCTGCTAAGGAGAGAAAGAAAAACTGCAGCTAACATTTGTTTTGTGGCTGGAACCAAGATGGAGCTCTGTTGACTGAAGTCTTTTAGGTGAATTTTCAAAAGTTAAATCTTTTCTTTGTTGTTTTGTTGTATTTTAGGATGGCTCCAGAAGTTATTGCTTGTGATGAACAACCTGATGCTACTTATGACAACAGGGTATGCTAATCTCATTTATGTTGCCATTGAGTGTTCATTGTTCTTTTGTTAAGTGGAAGAGAGTTGTAGTATTGTCTTCGTTTCTTGGCTGATCTAGGACGGACTGGTTTTTGGTAGTTATTATTTTGAATTGTAATAATCTTTTCTTCTTTTTAGTGTGACATGTGGTCAATTGGAATCACTTCTATTGAGATGGCTGAAACACAACCCCGTGAGTGTCACTTAGAAATGAAGGGGTTTATATGGCAGTATGGGCCATAAAATGAATTATATGAATAATGATAAAAATAATCCTTTAGCAGTCATGTAGAATATCATACTTGTAATGATCAAATTAGGGTTTAAAAAAAACTTTGAATTCCAGCTTGTCCATTGGGCTAGCAGCCCAGGGAGTGGCTTGCTTGTCTTAGTTGTTAGGAAGTTTTAGCATTGATGATGGTGATGGCAGTGAAAATGTCTCTTTTAGAATGAATTAGCATTTGTTCAAACTTTGTTGCGTTTATTCCAATTCGCTGGAAATGTCTAATGTAGGCTAATTTCCCTGGAGATGATTTTTTGGGGACCGCACTCAAGGTTAAAAAGAGAAAGAAAATTTCATTGTTGCTTGTTTACATCCTCCATAAAACATGAAATTAGGCATTTTCACATCGTAGTCGTGCAGTAACGACAAAGACGTGCAAAAAAGCGTGATACACGTGCAAACTTGTTGTTCTGCTTAATGAACCTAATGCTGTTTTGACGTTCTCTTTGCTGTTGCCATCATCATTCCTAAAACTCCCCTTTGATTAAGTTGAAAGATGACTTGCCTGTACCCTTGCTCATTTTGTAAGTGAGCTTTAAAAGTTACTTTCCCAGCAAGAAGATCTACTTGTCCTAGACTAATCGACAGGATGTTTTTCAACGCCTGCATAATGATGGTTACGATAAAAATTATGTTAATGGTGGGAGTGTTGGTGATAGATGTTCTTCAAACAGCTGTTGTTGATAATCCTTTATGTCGTAATGATGACATGAATGATATTATTGCTTTGAATTACATCGTTACCACATTGGTCCAATGTTTAAAATTGACGGTGAATTGTGCACTTTTCAATTCCAGCTCTCTGTGACATGCATCCAATGAGAGCCTTGTTTCTCATTCCACGGAGTGAACCTCCTCGACTTAAGTCCAAGAAGGCCTGGTCCAAGAAATTCCATAACTTTGTCAACACATGTCTGATCAAAGATTATCATAAAAGACCCACTGCTGACCAACTCTTACAGGTAGTTTTTTGTCTTCTTCTTATTATTTTTTTTTTAATGTGGGTGTGTTTTGGGGGAAATCCACATCTTGATTCATGAACCAAAGTCAGTTTCCAAAATTCTGAAACCATAAAATTAGTTATCTCTTAGTTAGTATATAATTGAATAGAAGTAATCATTGATTACGGATCCATGTCCATCATGTACAGAAAAATTACTGAAACGAAATTGAGTCGAAAGGAGTCCAGTTTCCTGGCTGAGGTGCCCCTGATAAAATTACTAGGGGCAGCTAATTTGCAGTCACCCATGATAGCCCGGAAATTTCTGCCTTAGTGTTACAGGAACACCAGATTAGGATGTGTTCTGACGAACGAGACAAACTATTATTACACGATTATTACTTGTAATCAGAGTCTTATGGAAGTGGTTTCATAAAAAAGTAATTTTTTTTTTCTCTTTCTTGAAAATAGTGATGGTTTGTGGGTCATAAAGCACTTTTGCAATTTTATGAGAAATATTTTAGGGAGAAAATCATGGCTGCATCATTCAAGTTGAAATGTTTATTATTTGTGGTTACTTTCTAGCATGAGTTTATACGGGATGCAAGGTCACATGAAAGAAAAATAAGGATAGAGTTAAAGGATTTTATTGACAGGATGAAAAAGAAGAAAGGTTAGTCTTTTACTGATGAGTGCATTTTTTTGTAGCAGTACATTAAACACCTTGACCTAATCACACTTTGACCCTGGGGCTCCTGTGCCTTAAGTACAACACACAAATTCTTCTGTGCATTTTCCACTTTTATATTCTCCTTTTTCATTTCATTGCTGTAGTTAAAATCTTCTTCAAACTATATCTTCTGTCAAAGAAATATGGCTGGTTACCGTACCTCTAGGTTCTGCATTATTATTAGTGTTTCACAAAATGAAATTTAACTCTGTGGTATTTTAGCTCCTTCACCTGATCATGAGGAAGAATTTCGGTATTCTGGCAGTGAGGAAGAAGATGAACAGCTCTTAGCAGGAATGATCGCAGAGGAGATGGGGTGAGAACTTGCTTCATGCTTGTGTAATTCAGATCTTAAAGTATGATAATTCTCGTTCCTCTTTTCCTCCTTGTGCAGATATGTCCCAGAAATTCCTACTCCTGACATATTTCACTGAATGTTTTCCTTCATATTTGCAGAATTGTCAATGTACAGTCAACCTTGAGAAGGAATCTGACCTTAATGCAAGGAGGCACATTTGGAAGGGGTAAGTGTAACAGCATATGGGAAACAAGTGAAAAAATAATAGGAGTTTCTGTAATGAAAAAGAAAATAGAATGGAAAATTTTAATTTGAAGGGGAAGTGAAGAAGAATAGGAAGTGGAAAAGAGAAGATGGAATGGGAGGGGAGTTAGGGTGAGGGAAATGGAATGGGAATAGGAGGGAGGCGATAATAGGGAGGGGAGTGTGAGGGCGGGGTATACTGTAGTGAAAAGGTTAGGGGCATATGGACTAGGGTAGTAAAAGTTTTAGTCTGAGATTTTTTTAATCTGGATTTCTTGATCCTATTGTAATGGAAAGAAAAAATCGTTTTTTGTTTTGTTTTTTCAGGTAATTATCCACCAAGAAAGAGTAGCAGTGGTAGTAGTCCTGTAAGTATGCACAGACGCACAATAAACTCTGGCCATTTCCCAAAAGACATGTGCAAGATATTTAACATTTAGCATAATTTAAGTATTTGCCAGAAAGAAAGGAAACAAAATGATGGATCTTTCAGTCCCTCTCACATACAAAGCCATTGGTGAATGTATGGAGCCTATTAGTATGTCGCCATCACCATCATAAACTTATTTGAATTTGAATAACAGTTTTCTTTCAAGTGTTATCATATTCTTTTCCAAGCCCTTGAAAACTTATTTGTCCAGTTGTTATCTTTCTTTATGAAAACTGTTGTGCATGACACTTGGATCTAATGCATTATGCTCTTGACAGGAAATGAATCAGAACCATGCTCCTCCGCATTATGCAGGTGCTACCGGTGGATATGACAATGATGTCTTCCTTGATACCAGTGTAGACAGCTTTGTAACACTTAACACAGATGACACTTTAACAGCATCAAATCATTCAAGACATCAGTAAGTGTGGCTTGTTTCTAACCTTCCTTCATTTGTTGTGCCCTGTTTACAGTGTCCACCTTCTCTTCCTCCTTCAGCCCTTTCTGACTCCGTCTCCTTTCCCTTTGCTTCCATTCCCTTCTTCCCTTTCCCACCCCTCTCCCCTTTCCCTTTTCTGACCCTTTCCCCTCTTCCACCCTGCCCCTTTCCCACCCGCTCCTTTTCCCCTTCCCTTCTTCCCTTTCCCACCCCCTCTCCTTTCCCTTCTCTCGCTTTCTTCCCTTTCCAAAACCCTTTTTCCTCTCCGTTCCCTTCTTACCTTCCCTTCTCTGGCCCCTCTTCCCTCTTCTTTCTCTTCTTCCTTTCTGTTCTTTCTTTACTGCCCTTCCTTTCCCATCCCCCATCTTCCCACTCCCTTTTTCTTCTCTCCTTTCTACCCCCCCCTTCATTTCCCTTCCACCCTTTCCCACTTATATTTTCCTTGTTTTCCCCTCAAAGCCCCTATCCAAAGTTTTTATGGCATTCATCATTTTTCATTAACTTCGACACAAAATGCTGTCTTTTCTGCTGGAAGGCCACTGTTATGATATCAGTCACTATTTCAATCTTTCAGTAGGGAATTGGAAAAAAGTGACAGTCTTTTATTATTTTCTACAGTGCATCAAATTTTGGGCATCATCATGTGCCAGATGATGGAGAGCTCACTTTAAGACCACAGCGAGAAGGTAAATTTATTCTCTTTGGTCTGCACCCATTACACCCCTACCCCTCCCCCTTATAGGCCCATTTTACCCCCATTTTCTTCTTGGGCAGTCAGAAAATTAGAACCAATTTTCTTTTCCCTAAGAGTTTTAGAATTTGCAGGATTTCTCCGTATTGAGCATCAATTTAACTGGAATTACTGCGTTCAACCAACCTCCAGAACCATTATTTTATAGTTTGTGTGGTGAATATTTGTCAAGTGTTGGTAATGTTTTGTCTAATTTTCCTGAAGCTCAAGATGATGATGCTGAAGGATTTGATACCATGGTTGTTAAAGAAGATGACAATGATTCAGAAGTAAGATCTTTGTTCCTCAATAGCTATTCCTTGAAAGAGGGGTAAAGATGATCAGAAAAATGTCAGACATTTAACCTTCAGACAGATTAGCATGCATCTTAGTTTCCATTCTTGTTTTTAGCAATGATTTATTATCAGACGCAAATTAAGGTTTTTATCAGTGGACCCTCATAGTGGCACTGATAGAAATCAGAGGCTAGCCTTCCATCACCAACCACCTTTCATTGGCTACGCTTATCTAAAGTGCTAATATCAGTTGTCCCTGTCAAAAGCATAAAGTTGTAATCTATGATAAGAAGCAGCTCAATCTTGGCATTTTCACAGTTTGCTTATTGTATTCTATTGCAAATGTAAGAGCAATTTCTGGTGATTTTTTAGCAAGTAATTATTGGCATTAAGTTCAGCTCAATCTCATATGCATACTGTTGTTGTAGCCTTAGGTTGTTGCTACTTAAATATGCCTAGTTTGTTTCCAGAAACACTGAAAAGGTTGACAGTAACAGTATGGCCCTTGTGAAGTTCTTCAGTAGAAACGGTCCGTGTATTATTTTAAGGGGTAATAAAATGTCGTTCACTACTGAAATTCTTTTCAAATTGTATCTCATCATCAGGGCAGTGCATCCACTGCAAGTATCGGAGAAGCAAGTAGCCCTGCCCGACCCCTAACAAACAATCTGCCTGATGTTCTTCCTACACAACAGCAGAAACTTAAGGTTAATGAAAACTTTTAGTTAACTAAGTATATAATGATTTGGAGGTAGCACATATCCACAAATGGCTCTTCGTCCACCATTCCTTATGGAATTGGAATTTAAAAATGTTACTTTTTATGAGAAGGGAAAATCAGAGTACCCCACGAAAAACCTTTCAAAAAGAGAGAACCAACAACAAACTCAAACCACATATGGCATTGACGCCGGGACTCAAACCTGGGCCACATCAGTGGGAGGAGAGTGTCCTCACAACTGTGCCACCTTGCCAGTTGTAACATGGTATGTTCAGTTAAAACTTTTTAAAGTTTCCATTCAAAGATTAGACTCGGCTTCCTCTTCTGCGTCAGTAGTGAAGTCGTGCAACAGGACAGGAGACCATCCTGTGACGTTTACTCTCCAGTTCTAGGCATAATAGCATCACAAGTTTCACCTTGTTAAACCCCTTTTGTGATTCTGGTATTTCTATGTTACACTGCAACATGCTTGCTGAAAATTTCCAGCCTTTGGGTTTGAAGCATATTTTATATTTTCTAGCAACATTTGTACACAAGTTTCAGCAAGGAATTTTAGTAATAAGCAATTCTTGAACTGCGGATCAATACTGCATTCTTGAGTTAAAATGGTTTAGAGATATGAAGAGTTAATTTTTTAAAGACAAAATTTTTTTCAATAATTTGAATTATTGTCTTACTAATTTTGTTACTTGTTGTATTATGTCTTTTATCTTGAATTTCAGAAAGCTGAACTTGAGCGGAAGGCATCAGATGACTCCATTGCTTCATCAACTGCAGGTCAAGATTCCAAGAGGGACAGAAAATTCTCTAAACAACGAAGCTTTGGCTTTGGTCGGCCATCACAAGCACCTTCAGAGGTGTCAGTCAATTTAGCTCCAGACAGAGCATCAAATGCTAGTCTTGATGATATGGGGGTATGTATATGTGATGATATGGGGGTACGTACATGTGATGATATACGGGTACATACATGAGATGATATTGGGATACATACATGAGATCATATGGGGATACATACATGAGATCATATGGGGATACATATGTGAGATGATATGGGGATACATACATGTGATGATATGGGGGCATGTACATGTGATGACATGGGGGCATGTACACTGTACATGTGATGATATGGGGGCATGTACATGTGATGACATGGGGGCATGTACACTGTACATGTGATGATATGGGGGCATGTACATGTGATGACATGGGGGCACGTACACTGTACATGTGATGACATGGGGGCATGTACATGTGATTATATGGGGGTACATGTATGTACATGTGATGATATGGGGGTATGCACATGTAAAGCAGTACATTTAAAGTTTAAAGGTGTGGAGACACAATAAAATTGACTGTACTTTACTAAAAAACAAATTGCTGCTTGTTACTTTTATTTTAGATGCCCCAGATAAGGAAATACAAGTACAAATTCCGTACAGAAATCCTATGTGGAGCTCTTTGGGGTGAGGTTGTTATTGTGATAAGTTCTCATATTTCTTGTGAATAGCAACTTACTCTGATCTGCAAGATCCCTCATTTGGTCATTGTCTCGCCAAGAATGGAAACAATGGCAGAAACTATTAAGCCATGGGCTCAGTTTTCATAATGTCAGGCTTTGCAACAAGACACAAGGTCTTCAGTTAAATGTATTTGTGAGAAAAAAACACTGCTGTTTATTTTTAAGGTCTTCTAGTTAAATGTATCTGTGATAAAAAAAAATACTGTCATTTATTTTAACACTGGTAATCTCTCATTTAGGTGTCAATCTCATCGTTGGTACAGAAACTGGTCTATATTTATTGGACCGAAGTGGATATGGAAAAGGTGCAAAATCTTATTCATGTTTTTTTTCTCTTCCGCCTCTAACATAATGAGGAACCGTACCTTATGTCCACATTTCTCTAACGGAGCATGAAAGATACCTTGCATTGAATTGGTTACTTTTTTAAAAAAACCTCCTTCAAAGCACTATCTGGTCAATACGACCAGATCTTCATGGCTCTTGCTTTTTCACACATTAACGAGTTCCAATCAGTGTATGATGTGGCTCTTGATCTTATTATTTCCGAATGGTCATTTCTCAAAGTAAATTACTGAATTTCAAATTCCTTTTTTTTGTTCAGTATCTCACCTAAGGAGATTTTTTTACCTACCACTTTCAGCCCATGGCCTTTTCTGTCAAGTTTTACAAACGAACTATCTTTTCAAAGCTGATCAGAAATTACATATTAAAAATGATGTCTTTTTTAATTCCTTTGTTAAATTTTCCTATGGGTACCCGTGTTGTGTTACCTTTTTTTTTTTGCTCTTTACTCTCTACAGTTGGGTTTAAATATGAAATAATTTCATTCCCTTTTTTGCCCCTCAGTTTTTCAACTTATCTCAAGACGCAGATTTCAACAGATAGACGTTCTGGAAGGAATAAACGTGCTTATTTCCATAAGTGGTAAGGATGTGATTTCGCTCTGTTAGTAGAATTTCTGGTCATGATGTTCTTAAGTATGTTTAAATAATAATTATTCAATTTTTCTTTTTTTTTTTTCTCCCAGGCAAACAAAACAAACTTCGTGTTTATTATCTATCATGGCTCAAAGCAAAAATTCTCAAAGGAGAAGAGGTATTTAACACAGCTGTATTAACTGATGTTCAGACTCTATTCAGAGTTGAAAGCAATATTTTACTTGCAGTAAAAACTTTCCGTTACACAAACATGGTAAAGGAAAAGTAATTTTGTTCACAAACGAGACTTGTCGGCGGAATGAGGAAGTGTGATGTTAAAATGGCTAAGGGTTATTAAGTCAAGCATCACCCTTTTTCACAGAAAAATGGCTCAAAAATCACACTATAAATAATGTATTGAGTCATGTAGCTTTTGTAAGGAACTACAACTTTCCTTCTTACGCCATTCATTGTGATGTTGAGCGCGTCCCGGGTTTTCCCTTTGATGACAGAACACTTTGATCAAAGAAAGTTTATTTGAATACATATTTTTTTTCCATGAAGGCTGAAAACCATAGAAGACAACGAGGCTACACTACAGTAGGCGATCTTGAAGGATGTGTCCATTATAAAGTTGGTAAGTCAGGTGCCAAGCTACAACTTAACCCTAAGGCTGTTGGCAATTGCGAAGTTCAAAGGGGGTTACATTCTGTGTTAGGAGAAAAAATGGTAGTATTTTGTTGTCGGCAAGCGATGTGGACATTGACTTCTACAGGTTCTTTTAGTTTTTTGTGCCCACGTATGGCCATACAGGATTCTGGATACGAACGTAACAGCCGCATGTAAGGCAAATGTTGACTGAACCTGAGTTGGCTTTGCGGAGCTTATGTTTTCTTGTAATTTGTAACCCGAGTATTGGGCGTTTCTTGGGGAAAAGGCAAAGAGAAAAGCAAAAGGGGAATCCTCCTCAAAAGAAGCTCAAGCTTCAATCTGCGTCAAAAGTTGGTGAAACGGTTCCTTTAAACACGTATTTTGAGAGACATCCTTTCACACTTCATGAAGCAAAATTATGAAAATTCAATGATTTTGGTTGCCCCTCCCCACCCTCCGTAGGCAGCTTTATACCCCTGATCAGGAGGTCCTGTGGCTGCCAACACTATCAAAGCTATGAAAGCAGTCAGAGCAATTTTGCTTCTGGTTGCTTATATGTGACCGCTCCGAAAAACATCAAGAAGTGACTAAAATATTTGATTTTCTTTGTTTTTGTTGTCTTTCAGTGAATTTCCATCGCATTAAATTTCTTGCTATTGCGACAGAAGACAAGATTGAAGTTTACGCGTGGGCGCCAAAACCCTATCACAAGTTTATGGCTTTTAAGGTAAGTACACGCGCTGTCTTTCAGCCTTTTTTATGAAGATTTAATTAAAGTTTTCCTCATCAAACGTCTTCAGCTTCGAAGGTTAAGCAGCCTGTGCTTTTTGTTTAGCTGTGGTCCAAATTTCAGTTCGGTCTAGAATGTTCGACGAAGAAGCACGCTGTGAAACTGCTGCCAATAAATCGTTCTTTTTTTATTTCGATCGATCCCTTCTTTTTGCGTGGGCTGTGTGGTAATTTTTGCGGGTTCCCTCGGGAGTCTCGATTCGCGCATTTCTCGCGTCCGCTCGTTTAAGACGAAATTCGCGCGCGCGTCTTTCGAGAGAGACTATAGCGTCTGTTCACCGTATTTTAAACTCCAAGGAAGCCGCTAACCGTCTTCTATTTTTCGCAGTCCTTTCCTTATCTGGTTCATCGACCTCTGATGTTGAATGTGACAATAGAGGCTGAAAATAGCAGACTAAAAGTCTGTTATTCTTCAGAAATAGGTAAGAAAAGTTATGTGTTGGTTCAGGTTTATTTTGTGATAGTGCCTCTTGGCATCGAGAGCGAAATGTAACGAGATTCCTGCGATTTTTTTTGTAGGTTTTCATGCAGTAGATTTGGATTCGGCCTCAGTCAACGATTTATTTATACCAAGTCAGGTGAGAGAGTTAAGTTTATCTTTTGTGCTTCCTAGAGCACCAGAAAGGGAAAATATGTGCAGTCATTTTCTGTATTAATGAAAGAAGTGTTGTCATTGAAAAGCTCTGCATGGTGGAGATGGTTTCATAAGATTTAAATGATCACGCTTTATGATTTCTTCCACGAAGTCAAAAGTAAGAACCTGCCTTGTAAACAGTACCACAGGCAAGTACTGCTCAGTAGGTTTCATTAGAATGGTCACACTATAGGATTTCATCCTCAGAATCACTGTTATATTGTTTTCGTTGGTTTTAAATTTTGGCATAATTTATTTTTGTTACTTCCCTAATTGTGTCTCAATTTTACAGCTTCAAGAGAAGTTCCAGGCTCACGCAATTATTCCTTTGCCAAGTAAGTGTTTTGCTCACTTCTAACTTGGCTATCTTCACTTTACGAAAATAGTACTGAATAATAACAACATGGGAAAGTACTGCTCGCTAGTTTTCATTAAGTTGAATGATCAAATGTTATATTTTCATATACAGGACTTAATTGTAAAACAGCACTACAGGAAATTACTGTCTTTATCTTAAGATTTCTAAAATTTATGCTGTGAGGAATATTCCGAAGTTCATTGCTCTGTGTTAAGTTACTATTGAATTTCATGTCAACAATAAGCACTAGATAAAAAATGAGCTGGAGAGCTGTAAAAGCCATACAGATCAGAAGGGAATATTTATCATGCCAGGAAACGATCAGAAGATATCTGTATCAAAAAATGATGAATGTTGATAAGCTAAGTATCTTAATTCATCAACCCAGTAGGCCACCTCAGAGTTCCAAAAACCCTCACTTTCAAACTGAGGCCAAGTGCACCTTTCTTGTGATAACGAGTTTTATTTGCATGAGAGTGGAAAATCATTTCCATATCAAAGGCTGAGCACTTCACCTCGTTTTGATACAGAGGCCCGGGGGAACTCGCAAATGTCCCGTTAATTTGTATTTGGCTTTACAGAGGTATACATGTGACTTAAATAATACTTTCTGATTGATCATAGAGATAATCAATGAATTGTACAAGATTGCGTTACTTTATTTTAGGTTCGAGTGGTTTGGAACTTCTCCTTTGCTTCAATAGTAAGTCTAACTCTCTCTCTGTCATATTGTTTGCTTGTTTTTATTCTAATTCGTTCCCTGTGCAACGCACCTGGCGAGTAGGGGTGTTGACGAAATCTTAAGCTGTTTCTATTAATTCCAACCCAATCATCCCTTAAAGTGAACTATACTCCAAACATTACCTCTATCACAAGAATTAGTGAAGTTTGTCACCTATTAACAGCCTTTGGGAAGCCCGCAAATTGACCGCACGCGATGAAAACGTTCGAAATACTTTCTGTTAAAGGCTGAGGGCTGTAAAGGTTGTTTTAGGTAACAGGTCTTTCACAAACGCGTGAAATAATCGTTTTTTGCGACGAAATTGCTACACTTTCGGTGAGTGACTGTATTTTGACGCGTGTGTGCTGAGAATCTAAGGTAACGATAGAGTTGTTAGTAAGTAATAATTCATCAAACTTTAAAAGTAGGTAGACTTTGTCAGAGTTCATCACCCGTATAATCAGTTTTAATTAACCTTTGCCGGTTTCTTGCACAGACGAAGGAGTATACGTGAATACTAATGGCGAACTTGTGAGACATGCAGTGTTGCAGTGGGGAGAAACTCCTTATGCCATTGGTAAGTTTATCCATTCGCTAATAAGACAATAGAAGACACATGAAAAAATGCATACAGCCGGAACAGGCAGAAAAAAAATACTTTCAAGCTTAGAAAAAAAACGTCATGTACCCATGGCGAACCAAAATAATTTACATGCAAAGCATAAGCCCTCCCAGCACCCCCACCCCCTCACTTTCTTAATGGTCCATCCCTTAGGCATTGTTGAAAAAACGTACAATAGGCTTGAACCAATCAGATAACGCGTCACCATTGCCCACTACAGAAACTATATGGGGAATGGGTACAAGCTTTGGTTCAACGATTTCTGGGCAAGGATTGGTTACGATTGGTCATGGTTATCAAGGCAACCAATAACCAATCATGGCTAACGCTTGTCCATCCAAACGATCCCACAAACCGTTTCGCCGGAAGCTTGTACCCATTCCCCTCACAGTTTCTGGAGTAGGGAATTGTGCGTGATGAATATTTTCGCTTGGCACCCTTGTTACTTTTTCCCGCGCTTGGCACCAGGGGCTCGTTTCTCGAAAGTCCCGATAATTAACGGGCTCGTAAAGCTGTTATGGTTTACATACAAGATAGAGGTTTCAATAGTTTTGTATCTAACATGATAAAACTATCAGTTAATGAAACAAAATGGAGTAGTTTGCTAGCCAGGATCCTCGCTCTTATTCTTTACATTTCGATGTGAATATTTGATTTCGGGCCCGAAAAGTAACCAGACTTTCGAGAAACGGGCCCCAGGTACACATTTTCCCGCCTTTCAGATCCGTTTGCACAAATCTCCCGCGTAGATTACCGGTTGCACTTTTTTTGTTTGATTTCTGATTGGCTTGTTTGCTGTAATCAGTGAATCGGTCAGATAGGAGTTCTTTGATTATAAAAAAGCAAGTTCTTTTAGTAATTGCTTTCATTGGAAATTGCCATTTTAGCTCACATAGGATCAGGCCAAATTATGGGCTGGGGAGAAAAAGCCATTGAGGTGCGGTCTGTGGAGAATGGTCTTCTGGATGGCGTGTTCATGCATAAGAGAGCGCAGACATTTAGATTCCTCTGTGAAAGAAATGAAAAGGTGTGTAGACATTTATTTTAGGGGGAATAAGTTTTTGATACCAGGAAACTTTTGGTACGAATTAAAAAGTTGCAAGAACAATAGAGAAGTGCGGCGTCACAAAAATTAAAATTTGTGAAATTATGGGCTTGGTTCGCATATTCAGAAAGAGCAAGAAGAAAAATACCCGCTTGCTTAAAATCAGCCCGTTAGTACAAATTGGTGGGGAAGTATAAGCACCGTTATGCTCTGACCCATACATTAATCCTTGTAATATTGGCTTGGACTCGTGACGCTTTCGATCCAGGCCAAGTGTTCAGGAGGATTTATATGGAGTGATCAGAACATAACGGTGCTTATATCCCTCCTCCACTTTGCATTAACAGGCTGATTTTTAGCAAGTGAACATTTTTCATGTTCTTATTTCTGAATATGCTAACCTTCCCATAATTTCACACATTTTTGTGACGTCATCACTTTTCTTCTCTATTGCTGGGTGTCTCTTAGCGTCTATTAAACACTGCGTTCAAGCTTGTTGGTGATGAGCCTTGTGATAGCTTTTAGCGTGACCTGACTCCTGGTGGATATGCCATTCGTGCAAAATGTACTGCAATAATCTAAAATTGTATGCCACTAGGGAATCCCGAATAAAACTGAAAAATACTGGAGTCTGTTCAGTAGGTTATAGTCACCTATTCTCTCCATAAGGTCTAAAGCGTAAAGAGGTGTTCGGCGTTTGGAGCGAAATAGATTATAACTAAGATTTTCGCACATCTCATTAGTCTTTGCTTTTTTGTAGGTTTTCTTTGCATCTCGATCGAGTTCAAGTGGCCAGATATACTTTATGACGCTAAGTAAAACGTTCAAGAACTTTGGATACTGATTACAACCCGCTGTTGTTCAGTAGGCAACAGGAGACAGATAAAGATAAAAAGACTCGATTGCAAACAAAGATATTTCAATCGAGTTAGAGGATGCTGTTAGTAATTGTATTGCTATGAGAATAATGTCTTATTTCCTGGACCTTAGTTTCATCTCTTGTTTTCCCTCAAGCGCAATGTTCGCTTCAAGTGTTGTACATGATTTGCTAAGGATTTGGCTACTTGATTGGACCTGCAAGTAGTTATACAGTGCTTTTGCCTCAAGCTATTAACCCAGGTGTTTTGCCCTAGAGAAATTACCCGCGGGGCGTAATACAATGTTTAATATTGACGTCGGGCCTTTGGTCATAGTCAGCGCACATAAGAAAATCAATACCCTGAGAGCGGTGTTTTCTTTCTGGTATGGCTTTTAGCATTTACGGATTTGTTCGGGTCGGTTAGTCGCGTAGTTGGTTTGTTTACGCCCCGAAAAAAACCTCTGCAGCGAGTCGCTTGTAGTTTTCGTTGAGCATGCTCTTTAAATCCCCTTGCAAACGGACGCAACATTGATGGCCAACAACTCCAAACATTGTTGGATGTTACGTGTCGCGTCGGTTTGCACACCCTGTTGCATGTTGTTGTGAGTTGTTGCGCAAAGTTTGAACCGGTCATACGTTTAGTCAGGAGCGTTGGGAGTTGTTGCGTCCGTTTGCACGTAACTTAACGACTTCGTAAATGCTTAAAACCATGCCAGAAAGAATTCTGTGCTCGCAGGGTAGAAAATCGAGCGTCGTAGAGAAAGTAGACGAGGGGTGGTTCATTTGATTCTCTTATCCAAAGGGTGTGCTGCCAATAAATTATATGAACAATGATTGAAGAGCAAGACACGCTATGATGATAGGTGATCATGTTGTTTATTCTCATAAGCTTTTATTTGGATAGGCAGCTATACTTCAATGAGAAGCTAGATGCTGGTCATAATTAAATTCTTAGTTACGTTATAGTAACAGCGTAATAGCGTTAACCTTATAATTACTCTGTAAAAAAATGTGTTTTAAGAACTAGGGACAGTTCCTTGTAAATGACGGCGGGGACGTTTTCGCTCTGGGCATTTGCAGCAAACGCTGGAAATTAGAGTTATTTAATATTTTCTTCATATGTTTGTAAATAACATCATTATGTCAGGTTTTGCTTGGAGACGTGCTAGAGCGATTTTCGTATCACCTTGAAAAATGGTTCGTGTTTGTTATTTTTATCAGCCAATGCATGCAAAGATCAAAACAGGGACTCCTCGTTTTCCCGCCAAATAAAACCCTAATATAGAGACGGCATTGTTCGATTGGCCAATCGTGTTGCAGTATGACACCAAAGCGAAGTATCGATTGATTTCTAGAAAGTTCTCTGGCATGAAGTTTTTTCACCCGAGCGTTCGCTTAACCAACCAATCCGTTCGATAAACCAATCAAATCGCTCTATTTCCGTTCGTTTGTTGTTTGTTTTGTTCGCGCGTTTTCCTTTCGAGGTCATACGAAAATCGCTCTAAGTATCCTTGATTTCTTCACAATTCTGATCCTTGTTTGAACTTGAACAAACAATATTTCACAAATATTCAACAATTTTCCACTGTCTATAATCTTATGCGGTGACGTCAAAACTCAAGTCACTGCAAAGTTTTGAACATTTTGACATAAGTCATTGGGCCTAAATCGCCAAACGACGGAAAATGGTTGTCTCCTTTGTTTTATTTAGCAGTAAATGTTTTTAACGTCCTTTTTCGGCAAAGCTTAATTTCTTGAAAAATCGGGCGCCAGAGACAGAGAAAAGACTACAGCTCTCGTCCGATTTGCGCACAAGAAATCAGTCGGTTATTGTTGTTTAAGAGTAAGAGCTTCAGACTATGGATAGCGTTTGTATTAATACTCATGACCTAACTTGTACGTTTTTTATTAAAGATGCTTGGGCTTTTGATGATAGTGAGCAATGGATAATATAGAAAGGTTTTGATTTCCGATCCTAATATTTTATAATAAAACAAGTGGAAAACATCCTGATAATTGTGATGAATAATCGTAAAAAATTAATATTTACTTAGTGATAGAAACCAGGAAACGTTTCTTGACATAAAATGTGAAATTTCTGGCAATTACGGCATACTTTATGGCTACCAATATTGATATTCGCACTACTACTTGAAGCCAGGTGATGTGGAAAAAAAAGGAAAGAGAGAAAGAAAAGAGAAACACTGAAATGTGGTGTGATGGCTGTTCAAGTTGACTTTTTAAATTCAAAATTGTAACAGTTCCCCCTATCGTAATGAAGCTAGACTGTTTGGGGATGACTACTTTCACGATGACTTCATGTGAACCGAAAACCTGCTTGTCATTAGCATGGTTTTAAAGGGATCAGTGGCAATGGTGATCTTCTACCCAGAAAATCAGATTCGAGATCTATATCAAGCAACCAATGTGATAAGATCCTCGAAGCATACACCACTTTGTGACACTGGCCAAAAGGATCGCAGCTTTGGACAGAAGAAAAAAAAAACATCGCACGGGACCTCCTAACTGTTTCAAAAAATATATATAATGTGAAAACTGGATTTCCATTCGATGATGTACAGCCTCTAACTAAAGCATCATTTACGGTGGTCTTTACTCTTGGATGCTATCCAGTCTTAATTTTGTTTGCCTCATCTGTTGCAGCCAAACTCGTCTACTGTCTCCTGTGAACCTCCAAGTGCGATTTTAAACCAGAGGTTTGAGTAAATCGCCTTCCGCACAAATCACAAGCAAACGGCTTCTCTCCAGAGTGAATGCGCATGTGCACCTTAAGGTTACCGGACTGAGTGAAGGTTTTAAAACAGCAAGGGCACTGGTACGGGCGTTCGCCTTTGTGGATTCTCATGTGAACCTAACGTCAAAAGAATTAGTGTTCAGAATTTGTTGTGTTTTTTCAACTCTTTCCTTACTCAGTTTAAATTGTATACGTGAAAACGAAACGGCTTTTACCGTCTTACCTCTAGCTTAAGTCCATTTGGCCACTAAATTATAATTTGAACAGGCCTTTTTGTTGTGAAGGCCTTATATTCCTTGCTCAATGCTTTTCGCGGACAGTAATCAGGGCTTTATTGACCCATTGTTCCCGATTTCTCCCGGTATTTCGGTCGCTCCAAGAGAAATCGAAGACAATGGTTATGCATTTCCTTTTTGGGTTGGGGGGGTAGACAAGGTGCATTTTGGTCTATGTGAAAATGGTGAATTCCCAAAACAGTCCCATAGTGCAATTCGACACAACACCCAACCTCGTGCCCAGGGCTTTTCATTCCTCCCATTTTTCTTAAGGAAAAAAACCCTGGGGACTAGTCTCAAGCACAGCCTCAATATGGCGTATATATAACAGTCTACGTCTTGGAAAAACCAAAATATCTTATCCTTGCTCCTCTCAAAGCAGCTTTTCTAGTCACTTGGCTAAATGTCTCTCCTGGATGCAAAAAATTGACATTAAATTTACACCGCGATTTATGTTGGTACTTTTTCTTACCCTCAAAGTGTCTCGCCTGGCATAGGTTTTTAAACACACAGGGCATTCCGTGCGTCGCTGTCGTTTGCGCGATTTGTTCTTCTGACTCTCGCGTTCTTGACTAGATGAATTGATTGTTGATTGTTGTACTGCACTTGACTCTGCAACGGTGGGCTCCATGTAAAGAAACTGCATGTGTCCATGAACATTCATCCATCCGGAATTCTCGAAGAAAGATGAGGGTGCAGTGTAGATTCCACAACACATTTTTTCGCGCGATCCAGGATAATGAGCTGAAGCACTAAAATTCAACGACAGTAAATATGTTCATTCGCCACTCCTTCGGTCAATTTATTGAATCAAACATTAATTTTAAAAACCAGCGTAACTTTTTTCTATTCATACATATTTATGAGCATAAAAAAACAATTGTTTAAGACAGTGTTTAATATTTGCAGTTGTGAGGTCTCTCCTGATTGGTCGTAGAAAACAATGACGTCATTGTTTCAATTGTTTTAGCATTGTTTGGGGTCAGGGTTGGGCACCATTGGTGACTTCTCTTCCGAGCAGCTGCTACATGACCGAATATTTGTAGTACGTCAAGTAACACGTGAATTTGATCTTATGACCATCCACCTCAAGATCGTTTTACCCGCCGCGCCCTGGCCCGGGTTGCTCGAAGCATGGTTAGTGCTAACCAGCGTTAAATACCATGGAAACCTATACATTTTGATACCTCTTAACCAACGGTTAGCGCTAACCAGGCTTCGAGCAACCGGCCCCTGGACGCGAAGTCTGACCGGGCTCCCGCAAGTAAGACAGCCGGGAGGCAAAGTAAAAGCGTACGTTCGTTCTCCCGTTCGGATTCGCAAAGGTTCACTGTTTCTTCGCATATGCGCACAACTCTTCCACAGTAACATTCGTGTCACCACTCGACTAACGAGAAAAGTGGAGGGAGTCTGGGGATGCCTTATGCGCTAAGAGGCACCAAGAGGATAAGTGAGGTGAGGTGAAAATTCCTATCAAATTAACCGCATCCCATTTACTGGTCAGTAAAATGTTTGTAACTGATACTCGTGTTACCTGTGAGCTCTTATAAAGCTTGGATGGGGATTGCAAAAAGACGGCTGCCACTGAACGCTGCTCCATGTTGTTGTTGAATTTTGCACCGGAGTCGTGTAAACAAATCGTGGAGGGATAATGCTCGAATGTGAGCCAAGCATCCTAGATGAATCTTCTTCCAAATGACTTTGTCCTTCCGTGTACTTATTGGGATTTCCTGCTATTTTAAGCACAAAGTTACTGTCAATTGTTAAGAATAAATATACAGAATACTTGTAATTTTCCAAAATACAAGAAACAGAAAAATGGGAAGCGCTGCGCGAAGTTAGAGGAACGAGGTGGGTGGAGGTGGAGGTGGAGTACTTCATCTGTCTTAGCTACGGAACCGTCATTTCACCTCTCTTGGCAGTGCTGTTTTACCCCGTTTTGATGTGAAATTGGTTTTCGTTTCAACGCCAATGTCTCCCCTCTTATCTTCTCCTACAAGGGGTTTCAAGAACAGAGAAGGGCGCACCGGCGATGTCTTTCGACGACCTTTGTTATGAATATGTGATAGTAATTGCCTTAAGTTTGCAGCGCCTGCTTTTGATTTCTCTGAGAACTGACATTACCGTAAACTTCAGCTTATAAGTCCCGGGCTTAAACAGCTTCGTAAGGGGTTTTAGCAGGGCCTGTAAACGGGGAGGCTTATATCCACATGGGAGGGGAGGGGGGACTTATAAGCGGACCAAAAAAGTGTTTCAAAACAAGCTACATAGCAGTGCTGGTCAAAATACGTTTTTAATTTTCTCATTTCAATACAAGCTAGAGGTGAGGGGGGGGGGCTTATATCCGAGGGGTTTGCAGTGGTGGATCCAGGGGAGGGGCCCGGGCCCACCCCCCTAAAGAATGTTCAATCTGGTACCCAAGCACTCTGAAGTTGCCCTGCTTCTGGGCCTCTTCAAAATTTGAGAAATGACGTCAGTCAAAATATGGTTGCCATAGGAACAACATCACGTCATGCCGGAAGAGCAACTCGAAAGTGTTGCGCAATAAAAAATGATCTCATATTCCTTGTCTTCGAAGGCATTTTTTTTCCTGCCAGATTTCCGATTTGTTTTCTGTTCGGTTTCTCAGAGTTCCAGACAGATCGATTTGACTTAAAAAAAACCTGACCATTAGTAAAAAAAATCCCAGCTTTTTTCCAAATTAGTCAATAACAACACATTTAGGAGTGCCTGGGACAACGACCCCTTTTACACGGGTCCGAACAAATTTTTGAACAGACTAATTTTTTTACCTGTGCAGCCCGTTTACACTGAACCGTGCAAATTCTGTTACAGATTGCGGTACTTTTTGCCGCTCAAGCACTTGCACGCTTCCGTGGGTCACGTGCAAACGAAAGGCGGATCCGCGTAAGTTTTTGTACGTTCAAAAATTTGCCCCGACTCCGTTAAACAGGGTCTTATATACTGTTGAACGATTCTTTAAGCGAAATAAAGACTTTAATTTAGTAGAATGCAACTATGGGCTTGCTCATAAATAAAAATTACGTGTTCACTGGACAAGAAACAATACTGCTGCGTACTGACTTTAATGTTTACTTCACCTACCGTTAAGCAAAATCAAAATTTAGATCAGAATATGATTGTTTGAAGAAATGACTTGGAAGAAACCGTCAGGTTGTTTTTTGGAATTTACACTAAATGGTGGCCAGGGATTGGCCGTGTCAAAACAGAAAAGAAAACTCCAAATTGTGATTGAATGAGTCTTTCACGAAGGCTCAAAGATCGAGTTTTCGTCTTTTCTTTCATTTTTCGCTCATTTTGTCAGAATGTGTCAGAAATCAAAAAGACATTGTGTTTCCCCGAATTTTCAGCGTGCTTTTCGCGCTTTCCCAAAATCATGTAAATTTTTCCATGTTGCGAACGTATGAGGCCACAAACTCCACAAAAACGTATGGTATTGCTATTTTTTGGAGGCATTAACACAGTATTCTTCGTAAAACACAACAAGTTAATTTTACCATGTTTTGTTCGAATGTATAAGGCAAAAATATACTAATGAACCGTCTGAAAAATATCCACTGAATAACTTACTTTGAACTTATTACAAAATGCTTGTTTAAGCTAAATTCATGGAAATGATTCACAGACTGATCGTGTTGCCTACGTTCAGTGAAAAGCACTGCGGCTATGTTGTGAATAATAATTTTAAACCCTATCTTCAACTTTTAACAATTAAAGTTAGCAATGTCTTTAGAATCCAACTCTAACAATTTCCTTTGTGGAAATTCTAGTTCTTTTTGCGACACATTATTTATTTGACGTCGTTTCGAAAACTACAACCCTCAGCTCAGGTTAAAAGTAGTCGTACGATGTAAAAGATGGGTAAGACGGGGATGACGTCTTGCTAGATTGGCTTAAAAACGCTCAAGCAAAAGAAAGGCTTTTCTTTTTTCTGTTTCGTTGAAATGGATGTGGAAAATTAGCTACCATTTTGTATATCTTGGAGTCGAATACTGAAAACAGCCCACCCTCAGAAAGGTTCAAAGTTAGCTGACGTACTCACGTGTTTCTCTTTCAGATAAATGTTCACACATTTCATTTTTTCTTTTCTCCATGCTGAAATCTCTTCTCGTTTGGAATGTAACAAGGGGGACTGAAAATAATTAGGCCCTAAAACCACTAAATCAAGGAAATACTGACACCAAAATGAGAGATTTACAAGTAATTTAAATGCTTGGTATCATCGATTTCCATGGAAATGAGCTTTTATTTTTGTATTTTTCCATGAAATCACTATAGCAACGGGAGCACGGAAGGTAATGAAAACTAAGTTTATTTACACTTCTTTAATTACGTTGCTATGACAACACGGACATGTTGCTAGGGATTATGTAAATTGTTTATTTGCAACTCTTTATATTTTATTTCTCTCACTATAGCAACAATAAACCAGAAAACCAGTAAAAAATATTTATATTTATTTATCACTGTCTCGTTGACAACAAAAATCACATACTATAAGTGTAGATGTAAAAAGATGAAACATTTTTTTAGTGGGTTTGTCTCTCGTTTCAAAAGAAATATCAGATAAAATATTGGCAAACGTTCGTGTTTTTCGGTTCCGTTCTGAAAATAATGCGAAAAGTTACCGCCTTGCATCAACTTTACACAAAGCAGTGTTGAAATGGTCGCTATAGCAACCTGGCAAACGGATTACTTTATTCTTAAGGTCATCATTCATGAAAATAAGCCCTCATTCGACAAGCGGGTTGAATTAGTTTTATTTTGTAAATAGTTATGCAAGTTTGGTAATTTTTTCCAAAACTAACTTAACCGCCTCGTTTGTTTGTCTCTCGTTAAAACAAAACGTGTCATAGCGATGAGTGCCGATCGACTACGATTGGACAGTTTCCAGAGGGTTTTGTTGTGTTATTATGGTTTCCATAACAACAAGGGAAACGCCTATTTTTGTTTCTTCTCTCGGCTGCTCAATTTTGCCAATGAAGATTGTATTTGCAAGAAGAAAACATGAATCAAATCCTTTTCAGGGAGTCTGACTGCTCCAGTGGTTTGCAGCCCGTTGGAGTACATCAAAATGGTATGTACATTTCTCATCACAGTAAATACTTCGTGTATGTGTTTTTCGTTTAATTGGCTCCCTGGAAGCGCTAAATCGGGGCGGGTCTCAAGAAAATCTCCCTTAAGACAATGTTGAGGGGAATTCTCGCCAAGAAAATTGTTATTCTTGGCTGTAAACTACCACTGTTATAGTAGAAAATTAAACTGAATTCTAAGTCTCTCTTCATATACTAGGTTTTTAGGGATGATGAAACACATTTTGAGTTAAACTTAACAAGTTAAAACTCCCGACTAGCAGGAAGCGAACCAATTGGTAATTTACAACCGTGGCGGAGAAGTTTACTTTGAAATCACGGAGAAACAAACCCAACTAGTCGTAGGATTTGAACCCAAGTATTACTGAAGTGCAGAGTCCTACACGAGAGAAAATTGGCCATAAACCCCTCTGATGGGTATAACCTTAAAGTTGTTTTTCTTTCTATAATTTATTTTTTTAAGAAACCCCAGCATATGACGAATTTTTAGCGGAGCTCTCGCGCTGTCAGCAGAACACCTTGGGTAAGAAAATTTGATTATCTGTGCATCTGAAACATTTTGGTGGTCACGTAGCCGTACGCCCGTCCGTCCACACCACAGGGAAACCAATGTCAAATGTCACGTTTTCTAACTGATATGGGAGCCTGTAACCTGTGTTAAACTTGATACATACGTTAATATCATGGTCAATTGACAGCTGTCAAAACAAGGTATCCGCTGACCAGAATCACATGACGGTATCGTTCGCTCAGGTGCCTACTTCCTCGAGGACGTGTGTTTCTTTTAAGTTTTTCGCTGACCAGTTTTCAGCTTTCGATTGATCGCAGTCTCAAACTTATGTGTTTTCAGCTCGTTCTCAAAAGTCATATGGTTCTTCGCTGAAGCTGAGTATAGATATGTGTATTTCTTTGTAATGGTTCCAACTTCATTATCTGCAGTAAATTATATATGCAGAAACGGGAGCTTCACATTATACTGTCACAATACTAAAAAATTATTACAATTAAAACTTGTCAAGTAAAACTCAACTAAAAACCGCGCAATGATTACTCAACATTTTTTCTGTATCTGCTTTTATTTATCTTTAGGTAGAGATGTTGGTGGCAAGAAGGTCAATCCACAGTGTTTACGCAGCGTTTATAGTTATCCGTATTACCCGGTCAATGTTGCAAGATATTTCAGTCCGGTTGCTCGAATACCAGTGCCTGGAATGCCAACATCTGCCTTTAGGATGCCACAAACTCACACCCTTCATGGATGGTATCCGGGGATGTCTGTTCCCTTGTATAAATATCCCCTGGATAACTACATCCCCCAATCCCACCTGTAAGTAATAAAGCTGAAATGTCTCTTTTAACAAAATTACCAGACAATACTATGTCTACAATGCTGAAAAGCATCGTAAAATGCCACGATTGCTAGTTAAACCTGATCTAGTCTTTCTTTGAATGGTCTTAGTTTACCATTAAAGTTAATCACATCACATTACATAAAGTAAGGCTGCCTCGTCCCCAAGCCCCAAGCGTCCCTTGATCCTCTGGCGGACAGGGCGGCGCGGGGATTGGGCACGATCCACTGCACTGGGGAGCCTGCGGCAGTTATATTTTTTCCGCGGAATTTTAGCTCCATGAGCAGATATGGCATTGGAAAAACGAGGATCTATGGTTTTTAAGCCCTTTACGTTGGTTTCATTATTCTATCCAGATCCACTTTCTTATTTCTTTGGCCGAAATTACAAACTACATATATATCATTTAGTTAACCTTTAGATCCATGTCTTGATCTCGATAGGACGTCTCGTCTGAACCCGAAGGTTCCGTCGACTGGTGTAACTATGGCACAATTTAATCCACACACATCAAATGTCTTGGTGAAGAGTAATGAAAAAAACACCCCTCAGAGTAATTTTGACACCTCAGAAAATGTCTCCATGATAGCAACGGATATGCACACGTCACATCATGTTTCTATGGCAACTTCCAGCTCAGACACGTCACATGTTCAGGTGAAGGTAGAGAAACCAGATTCACCACTGTCACCACAGATACAGACTTGCCAGATATCTTCAACAGAGATGAGCATGAAATCGCCTGGCAATCGTCTCTATGATCATTCTGAGAACATTGCCAAAAAAAAGAGAATACAACTTGGTGATCGACCACAGTGCTCAGTATGCATGAAGACCTTTTCTCGATCAGGGACTCTAAGGGTTTTGTATAATCTTGTTTCTTACCCTCCTTTATTTTTGGCCTTAACTGGCACGTTTTCAGCTTAGATGTTCAATACCTGGAGCCTATAAAATAGTAGAAACCAGACTCATCCAGATAATGGAGTGCGGTGCGAAGAAAGAGGAAGGAAAGAAAGAAGACAGGGAGAGGGAGAGAGGTCGGGACCCCTACCCCACCCCTCGTTAGTTTTTTTTCGTGCCATCCTCACAATCTGAATGCCTGGAACATAATTGTATTATGCATTTATCATGACATCGCTTGACTATAAAACTTTGAGCTCCGTAAACAGCTTTTTTAAAGGGTGCACTGCCTCGTCCCCGGGACGTTTCCCTTGGTTAGTCTTGGGGACGAAGGGAATGGAAAGATAATGTTACTAGGGATAGAGAGATTTTCGTATCACCTTGAAAAATCGTTTCGGTAGGTGCTCGTTATTCGTTTTATCAGCCAGTGGATGCAAAGACCAAAACATGGATTCTTCGTTTTTCCGCCAAAGAAAACCCTAATATAGAGACGGCATTGTTCGATTGACCAATCGTGTTGCAGTGTGACGTCAAAGCGAAGTATCGATTGATTTCTAGAAAGTTTTTTCACCCGAGCGTTCGCTTAATCAACCAAAAGCCACACGCGTTTGTCCGTTCGATAAACCAATCAAATCGCTCTATTTCCGTTCTTTTGTTGTTTCTGTTTTGCTCGCGCGTTTTCCTTTCAAGATCATACGAAAATCGCTCGAACAACTCACTCAACAAGAGACACAGACCCTCACATAGGCTGTTCCAGGCTTTCGGTTCCGCGATAGTGGTTTTTGTTGTTCACCTGTCTTTGCACCGTCTCCAATTCCTGAACACCTCTGCAAAACAGCATGACCCCACCCTCCAACCCTGCTGGGACGAAATGTCCATAGATATCATTAACAAAGTGTACGTGGTTTTTTTAGGTTCATATGCGCATTCACAACGGAGAAAAGCCATTCCAGTGCCGTTTCTGCCCTAAGAAGTTCGCTCAATCTGGGAACCTTGCTGCGCATGAGCGAATCCATACCGGTGAGAAGCCATTTGAGTGCAAGTACTGTGGAAAGCGTTTTACCCAGTCCTCCGCTCAAAAGAGCCACACAATGACTCATATTAGTAAGGAACTGTTGTAAACAAAAGCATTTATGTGCTTTTGTATTATTTAACGAGAGATACTGATAAATGCTATCGCATTTCTTAGCTTAACGCTGACTCGGAGGCATTAGGTCGTTAAAAAACTTCTTACACTTGTGTCTCGTTTTTCATGCTAGAAAACTCTTAAAAATTACACCAGTTAGTGACAAATGCCAAACAAATACCCCACGTATAGGCACATTTGGAATTGCGTATGCCATTAATAATTAACCTCTACCAAGAGAGCTTTAACCTCCCCCCCCCCCCCCCCCCCCCCCCCCCATAAACCCCGGCTCACCCCTCCGCCAGAAGAACAAAGGAAAAAAAAAAGCCCCCCCTAAAAAAATAAAGGACCGTCCCGGTTAAAACTTTTAAAGCGAACAGTTTAGAAAAGGAAAAGCGATTCTTTTAAACTAGAAAAATTCTATCAAATATCACCAGTTATGAACACAACCCAAACAAACACCCCCATTTTAGGGCAATTTTGAATTGGGCTTGCCCTTAAAAATCAACCCCCCCCAAAACGGCTTTTACCCCCCCCCCCCCCCCCACCTGCCTCTACCCATGAAACTCGGGTCAGTCGTCAGTCAGATGAACAAAGGAAAATCAAAACGTCCCCCTTATAGAATTAAGGATCGTGCTCGTTCAAACTGTTAAACGGAGACGTTTGATCAAGGAAAACGACGTTGTGAAATGTGTCTCAACAAATATCATCATACAAAAATTTAAAAGTGGTAAAAATAGAAGTATTTTTTGTACTTTATGAGCATGGTCTCTGAGGACCACTTATTCTATTTTATGGGTCTATGCCCTACGGGCCACCATTGTTACTTTCACTAAACTTTTGGTGTCATTGGTTGAGCAAAAATAGATAAATATATGAAAGGAGACAAGACATTTAAAAAGGAAAAACTAACACAAAAAAGACTAACATGCATTAGAAACTTTATGGAGACAAAGTGACGAACATAACACGGAATTATTCATAAATATGTCTAGTCCAGAATCATTGAGCAAAGTGGTATGACAAATTAAATTTGAAAATTTTCTAGTATTTAGACACCCTTTTTAAGTGTTAAGAACAAATTTGGTAGAATTTTAAGACATAACTTTCTAAGAATCGTTTTCATATCGAAGAAGACGTTCAATCGTTAAAAACATTCATCTACTAAGGATCAATCCAAAGAAGATTCAACGATTTTTCTTTAAGTGCCTATGACGTAAAAATTTGTATTATGTTAATTGAAAGAACATATTTCTACCAGAACTTCTTCAAAGCAAGTAGCGTTTTAAACAAATTGAGATTTTGTGAGAAATTTTTACGAGTTGAAATTTCTTTGGCACACCCGTTCCACTGTTCACGAAATTGACAGGCTCAGATCCCCGGGGGGGGGGGGGTACTCGATATTTCCCTGTGGGGGGGGGTGGGGGGCGGCCCCTCATACCCTGACCCTTTTTAAGACAAATATCGCTGATTTTCCTACCCTGTTTAAGACAGGATTCCGATTTTTGATACCCTGTTTAAGGCATTTATCCTGTTTAAGACAAAAATTGATAAATCGATAGCCTGATTAAGACAAAAAATGATAAATTTGATAAATTGAAATCTCAAAATGTTTTCGCAGAGGTTCTCGTAGAAATGTGTAATTTCAGTTTTAGGTTGTGGGCACTGTGACGATAGCGCCAGGCAAAAATGGAAGCTTTTCATGGATAGTCAAATTTCGACAAATTTGAAGTTTATTGACTGAGTTTATTATATTCAAGTTTATTGATCTTCATAGGTTACAAATTAAATAAAAACATATATGTATACACAAAAATCCTCTGCTTGCAAATAGCTTGGCTAATCCAGGCGGGCAGAGGAAAACATAAAGTAATTTATAACAAGGAAGATATTAAGTAGAGGAAAGGAAAAAGGAAGATACATCTATATCAATGACACAAGAGAATGAACTGAAATCAATACTTCTATTTCTTTCTTCAAAGCTTCGTTTTCTTCGTGATGGGACTTGGCACTGGAATTTGAATTTGACTTTCATTATCAGTTGTCCAAAAAATTTCAGTCAAAATTTCACTCCTAGTGCGGAGCTCAGTAACTCACCTCTGCACAGTACCCGCAGAACATGCGCTACGCAACACTTGTTGCAGTTCAGTCTAGTCCCTAGGCGTTCTAGGCTCGGTCAAACCTAGACTCAAACGTGAGCTGTGACGTCATCGACAGATCGATGCTCCCCGAGAACGCCTATCAAATATGGCGGCATTTTCGGTTATGTTACTGAACTTCAGCAGGTAGCTGAAAATCCGTCATTGGAAGAGTTTCTAAGTGCATGCCACAGCGAGAAACAAAGTTTAGATTTCTTCAATAGGGATCCGCGAAACCAAATTTTGTTCAACTGCAGTGGACTTTCACACGCAGCAACTTGTACCAGACGATGAACTTCTTTCTTGAATTCTCTGCACGAGGAGTAAGGTACGGGTCAAGAGAGAACGTCTAGGGACAAGGCTGGGTGCAGTTTATAAGCAATGAAGGCATGAGCAATGATGCCCTCTATGTGAGTAAGAAATGTTTTTGTAATCATTGCCTTTTATACCTAATCTTAATCTCTCTCGTTGGTTCATAGCTAATGAAATAAACTCAAAATTAATGTAAAAAACTATAGTATTTTTAAGGTACAACAAAACTCTGGGCCTTTCAATTTTTTTTTTTTAGTTTGTTTTTTCCCAAAATAAGCCTTAGAAAATCATTTTTGATGTGCTGATAAAAACACTCTTTCGTTTTACGCAACTTTAAACCTTAAGAAACCGTTTTCTGATGTTCTAGATGTAATACAAGTCTTTCTAGGCTATAAAAAAAGTCCCTCTTTAAAAGTTGCCAAAAAAATGTTTTTATTCAAAGGGTTTAGTCGATGATTTTGGTCAAAAAAATTAACACTTTTTCCCACTTTGTTTTTTCGGAAAATATGCCTGGAAAATCATTTTCTGGTGTGCTGATAAAAACACTCTTTCGTTTTACGCAAAGTAAACCTTGAGAAACCGTTTTCTGATGTTCTGATTTTAAAAAAACTCTTTTAGGCCATAAAAATGTCCATTTTTGAAAGTCATCAAAATGGGGTTTTTTCAAAGGGGTTCGTCCATCATTTTGGTAAAAAAATTCCCTAGTTTGTTTTTTTACAAAATAAGCCTTGCAAATCGTTTTCTAATGTTGTAGATTTAATACAACTCTTTTTATGCCAAAATCGGGTTTTTTAAAAGGGGTTGACCATCATTTAGGTCAAACATTCACATTATTTCCTAATTTCCTTTTGGACAAAATAAGCCTTAAAAAATCGTTTTCTAATGTGCTAGATTTAAAACAACTCTTCGTAGGACATAAAAATGTCCCTTTTTAAAAGTTGCTAAAATGAGATTTCGGTCCAAAATTGGCAATTTTTCCCTCTTTGTTTCTTTTTAGGAAATCTAGGGCAGGAAAATGTGTTTTAAGATATTCTACAGCGAAAAAACCCCTTTCTAGGCTATAAAAACAAAAAGGTAAAAAAGTCGTAATGTTGGAAAATGTTGGAAAATGTGTTTTATGGTATTCTAGAGCAAAACAACGCCTCTCTAGGCTATAAAAAAAAACAGTTCGAAAAGTCGAAAAATTGACATTTTTCCAAAGGAGTTAACCCAAGGTTTTGGTCCAAAAATGGCCATTTTTCCAACTTTCTTTTTTTAGCCAATATAGGCCAGGAAAATGTCTTTTACGATATTCTGGAACAAAAAAAGCCTTTCTAGGCTATAAAAACAAGAAGTTCAAAAAGTCGAAAAATTGACATTTTTCAAAAGGGGTTAACCCATGCTTTTGGTCCAATAATGGCTATTTTTCCAACTTTTTTTTTAGCCAATAAAAGCCAGGAAAATGTCTTTTACGTTATTCTAGAACGGCAAAAGGCATTTCTAGGCTATAAAATCAAAAAGTTCAAAAAGTCGAAAAATTGACATTTTTCCAAAGGAGATAACCCATGGTTTTGGTCCAAAAATGGCCATTTTTCCAACTTTCTTTTTTTAGCTAATATAGGCCAGGAAAATGTCTTTTACGATATTCTGGAACGAAAAAAAGCCTTTCTAGGCTATAAAAACAAGAAGTTCCAAAAGTCGAAAAATTGACATTTTTCCAAAGGGGTTAACCCATGGTTTTGGTCCAAAAATGGCTATTTTTCCAACTTTTTTCCTTAGGCAATATAGGCCACGAAAATGTCTTTTACGTTATTCTAGAACGAAAAAACGCAATTCTAGGCTAAAAAAACAAGAAGTTCAAAAAGTCGAAAAATTGGTAATCTAGCCCAGGAAAATGTGTTTTATGATATTCTAAAGGGAAAAAACGCATTTCTAGGTTATAAAAAGTCGACAAATTGACATTTTTCCAAAGGGGTTAGTCCATGGTTTTGGTGCGAAATTGGCGATTTTTCCATGTTTGTTTTTTCAGCCAATCTAGCCCAGGAAAATGTGTTTTATCATATTCTAAAGCGAAAAAACACATTTCTAGACTATAAAAACAAGAAGTTCACAAAGTCGAAAAATTGACATTTTTCCAAAGGGGTTAGTCCATGGTTTTGGTGCAAAATTGGAGATTATTCCATCTTTATTTTTTCAGGTAATCTAGCCCAGGAAAATGTGTTTTATGATATTCTAAAGGGAAAAAACGCATTTCTAGGTTATAAAAACAACAAGTTCAAAAAGTCGAAAAATTGACATTTTTCCAAAGGGGTTAACCCATGGTTTTGGTCCAAAAATGGCCTCAATTCCAACTTTCTTTTTTTAGCCAATATAGGCCAGGAAAATGTCTTTTACGATATTCTGGAACGAAAAAAACGCATTTCCAGGCTATAAAAACAAGAAGTTCAAAAAGTCGAAAAATTGACATTTTTCCAAAGGGGTTGCCCCATGGTTTTGGTCAAAAAATGGCTATTTTTCCAACTTTTTTTCTTAGCAAATATAGGCCAGGAAAATGTCTTATACGATA